TCTCTTCAGACTTGGTCTCTTAGGATCATCCACAGGTACCTATACTGTAGATAGGCCTTAGTCATCAGGTCTACTCCACTTCCTTGTTGCCTGCTTAGACTCTTGGCACTCTTAGGTGAGCAGACTTAGTCAGCCTGTGTTGCCCTAACAGCAACCCATGCTGTCTGAGATTCTGACTGAGAGGCTGTACAGCAATTTAGAAGCAAATCAAGTATGGATGCCTCATGCAGATCCAGCATCTGCATATGCTTGCAGTATGACTGGGAGCTGGGCCATAGCCTCCTGGTCTGTTGACATGATGGACACCTGGTGCATGCCTTGGGCTGCCATTTCAGAAGCATGCAGGCTGGATGGGATGGACTGGGTGAATGTCAGTTTTTGAAAGAGAAGGGGTTGATAAACTCACCTGTAATCCATACTCCTGGGACACTCAACATGTATTCCCATTTTGTGGACTCGCCATTCCACATGCGGATCTGCTGTGTCAGTGCAGTGATGATCACCATCAAGATCAGCTGACATGAAGTCTACCACATGCAAATAGCTTGGTAGCCCAGGTCAACAGCAGTTTGAAGGTATTCCACATGATGAAGCAAGAATTTAGGAGCAAGGTGCAGTTAATACAGTGTCAGTGAGTATGATTTCAGCAGTAATATTTATAGAGAGTCAACATCAGGATATCAATGTTAATATCAACAGTCTCATGCAAGGGTCCACAATCACATCTCATTTCATCACTAGAGTAGGTCCTTGCTTATCAAGCAGGTAGCACAATACATTGAAAAAGAATGTGCTTACAGATCAGACAGTCCTAATACAAATCTGGTGTTTGGACTACAAGTGAATTGGCATAGTAGGCATATGGGTCTGAATAATGATTTCCTGCAGACTCCCTCACAGTTCCACAGACCTAACCCCACATTCTGCATGATTGAGTTGCTGGTCATCACCCAAGTCAGTGGTGGTGACTTGAGAATAGCCTGTGGTAAGTGTCTTGAACCAGAGGTAAACCCTGCAAGCCCATTCTTGGCTGGCATGGTTGATTCAAAGAGCATTATCTTCTGCCACTGCCACAAATGCTGCCCTGGCTGTTTGTCCAGTTTGGTAACCCATCATAAAAGGCTTGTGGGTGGGAGGGGGTGCCTGGATAAACTTTGAGTGGGAAACTGCATTGACAGGAGGCAAGTTGCTAGTGGTAATGGGAGAGGAGGTGGTGGTAGTAGTGGATTGTTGGCAAGGTCCCGCCTTCATAGTTGCTGTGTCCTTGAGGATGTCTGCTTTGTACATGGGGAGGGAGTGAATGAACTGGTCATACCAGTCTGTAACCTGGAGGAGGAATAGGAGGGGACTGGTGGAGCTGCTTAAGGGTAGAAGTAAGGGTTGAGGATGAGAGCTGAGACGGAGGAGGCATGCTCCTCAGATCCAAGCAATTTGATTCAATGAAACAAATGAACTTGATAATATTGTCAGTGGAGCCCCTCAGAGCCACTTCAGCAAGATCAATGCCTCACAGGCAAGCATTGTTGAGATGGAGTGGAATCTTGCCACACTGTCCCTGAAGACAGAGCAGTGGGTTATCTGAGTCTCACATCAGCCAGCCACCCCCAAATCCAAAATCCAGATGAACAATGCATACCCAGGGCCACATGGAGCAGCAAGATGGTGGTGCCTCTGTCACCATCTGTGATGAGAGCACTAGGCACCATTGCTGTGGGCCTGTGTGCAGTGCCCCAGAGGTGAACCCCGGAGCAGAGTGGAATGACATCATGCTGAACCCATTGGAGAGACTGCAGATTATCTATCCAAGCTTCAGTATTTGATCTCCTAGACAAGAACAATGACTGACCTGGAGCCATGGGCCCAATGAGAGGGAGATTGGAATGAACCATTAGGAGATTGCTGGTGCTGTCATAACCCTTGTCTGGGAGGAGACTGATAGAGAGTTAGAAAGTTACATGCCAAGGGTCAAGGACCTAAGATAAATCTCACCAAGGTAGTCTTTCAGTATACTCTCTCAGTACTTCAGGTGTGATTTGAAGGGTGAGGACTTGAGGAGGTGGATGTTAAGTCAAGAGAAGATCATCTGCTTGCTGTGCAAGGGCCTCCACCCTTGACCCCTGGTATCATCACATGATTGTCAGGATATTGGACTTCTGCACTCATCTCACAATATCACCACCATTTTCTTGTCTGCAAAGTACTATTTTGGCTTGTTTCATCAGGATGTCTACATCATCTAGACAGTGTGATGATATTCCATCAGCATAATATTTTTTAATGGCAGAGAAAATGAGCAAGACCAATGAATGAGCTCACGCTGCATGTCAGCCTCATGGCTGCATTTGTTCCCCTATAGCAAATAGGGGGAGAAGCCTGGAATTCTGGGGCACCACATCAGTGGGTCATGCACAAGGCATCCTTATACCATCTTTACTTACATCCTTCTTAGTTTCTTACTCTCATCTGTCTCAAGCAAAAACAAAGATCAAGTGCAAGCTCAAACAATATGGATTCCCCAACGAGTACAATGACCAACAACCCCATCATGGCATTTCTAGAGGAGCTATCAAATCTTGATGAGGAGAAGGAAGAAGTTGCGGATGGGAGGGAAAAGGGAAAGAAGGCACCTGGAGCAAAATGGATGGACAGCACCAGCACACTGAGCACCATCCCCCTTGGCAGCAAGGATGGAACTGAGTCCTGGCTGCTGCATCCACAACACACAGCATCAGCATGATGAATGAGGAGGAATCTTTGATGGTCGCCAACTGACTGATGATTGCTGCTGCAATGAGGCATGCATTCAAGGCAGTGCATATAGGGGAAGACATTCCCTTGCAGGTTCTGGAGGAGCGTCGTCAGGTAAGTCTTATTTCTTTTGTACAATGATATTCCTTCCTCATCGTGCAAATCCAATATTTGGACAGCATGATGATGGAGTGGAATATCATCATGCTGTCTTTGAGAACTTGCTAATGTTTCCACAGGTTGATCACCTTGATCAGCATTGCAAGTTGCTGGACAGCATCCCTCCCAACACTGCTATGACATTGCTGGACCAAGAGCATTGCAAACACAGTGAGGAGGTGTCTCCAGTAGACATCTATCTATCCTCTCCCCAACACTGCTGTCCTATCAATGCTGGTCAGACCTGCAAACAGGAACAGGGCACTCTATTGGCTGGGTGACCCAGCTGGGCTCCCTCATGCACAGGAGGGGCCATACATGGCAACACTGGGGCATGATCTTGTGGGGTTTTATTCTTTTAGGCCTGATGGGATTGGTCAATGGTGCCAGTGCTTTCATTCATGCACATCCATGGAAGGTCATAGGGACAATTGGTGCATATTTGGACTTTCACTATATGCACTAAACTAATACATTTACTTAGCCCCCTTCTCCTCTACTGTCTCATTTGTCAGCAGTCAGTGCTGGAGCTCATTGATGGTATCTGGGGGGAGAAGAAGGAGCACTAGAAGGGATAATCATAGAACATTTAGTGCTTGCTTGTATGCCATGTTATGCTTTGGCCATGATGAAAAAAGTGTATCTAGCATCTTGACAGTGCAATGATATTCCACTCCATCATGAAATATCATTGATGAAAGAACCCTGAGTCAGACATCATGTCTAGTGCAAGCTAGAGAAGGATAAGATGTAGGTTCAGCTGAATAATGAGTTATGTACTCTAATCAGGAGGAATCTTGTTATCTATAGTTCTTGCAGTTGCAGATTTCCTTGTGTATGTAAACTTCAGGTAAGCATAGATATACTATTAAGCCATGTGGATTACTATTTGGCAGACAGTATAGTGTCACTACTTCTTAGTAAACCCTAGATTATATAAGAACGCCTAAATCTGCCTCCACAAGCAGACCCTGACACGTAGTGAGTGTAGATCGGATCGGCGCTTGGACAGGCTCGATCACTACTACTGTGCATGTAGTGCCAAACGGGTCTGACCGTCAGGTTCAAACCAGCGGATCGGAGATGATGTCATCCGTTCGTTTCACCCGGCGTCCGTCCCCCGTCGGACATCCGGACATCCGGATGCATATGGGGCATGCACCGGTCGAGAATAAAAGCTGTGGAAGACCGGCATGTGAACGGAAACCCACTAGTACTCTTTGACGATGATTTCCGATCCAAGAGTTGTCGTTACTGCCAAGGTACGCCCTCCTACGCGCCCAGGACAAAGGGCCAGCCGCGGGGAAGGCTCGCTAACCTGGAGTTCGAGCACTAGTTCACGATCAAGCCTTCTAAGCGGGAGGCGTTCGAACTTGCCTGGAAGGAGTTTGCGGATCTTGTGAGGAAGTTGGAACCGAAGTGTTTGGTTTGGAATGTTGCGGTCTCGGAGGATGGGCTGACGTATTGGATGTATGAGGAGTGAGTGCATGGTATCATGGTAGGGGCGGTGGGGCTGATGAGTCGCAGGTATATGAGCCAAATGGCACTAGAGGAGTGAGTTCTCGTGCACTATGAAAGGCCGATGGGGCTGACTTGGGGAGACATGAGCACACGCCGCATTCGAAGAAGTTTAGCAGTATCGCCCAGGAGGGGGAGTTTTTCGCTAGCGTAGGTCGTTCGAGCTCTGGAGAGGTTTGTGACTGAAATGGGCTGATGGGCTGATGGGGGGACAGACACCGGAGATTAACAAGGGTTCGAGGCCGTATTTCTGAGGTATTGGTAGAGAAGGGCAGGGAAGGGAAGGCACCGAGGAGAACGATTGTATGAGGACGGTGTGGCGGGGACGGCGTGAAAGAATACAATGATGGGAAAGGAAGTTAATGAATCGAGATATGAACGTATGTTAAGTAACCTAGATCTCACTTCATAAATTTACCTGGGATGCAATCCCCACACTTCTCAAGGAAGCGCACACACTCCCTCGAGCGAGTCATCGTCACTCACCAAAAGACGCTCACGAGTCCCGGAAGAGCCGGCCCTGAAACAGACTTTTTGCCTCCGCAGGAGGGGACAATGCCCGCGCCACTCTCGCGCTCAAGAGCTCATCGTCTCGTTGGCCCTGTACACCACCTTCGTCCCGGAGTCGTATACCTCCTCGTCTTCTTATCAGTGTCCGATACTGGTGGATTTACTCGACAAGTGGGACGATTGTGTGCCTTATTAGGCCTGGTTAGAGGCTGTTTCAGCGAGCGAAGGACGATCCGGCTTTAGGCAAACGCAAACCTGTGAACAACCCGCGCCCTCGCTCTCGCTTTCGCTTTTTGTCCACATTCGAAATAAGCCAAGATGTCGATGTTTGCGCAGACTGTGACGTACTCTGCTGCGCCTGTGCACAAGGTTCGCGAGGTGCAGTTTGGGATCATGAGTCCTGAGGAGATTGTGCGTGCTTTTACCACAAATGCTTGCCACCGCTGACGTGTCCTCTTCGCCTTGGTCTCTCTTCCCACCACCTTCAAACACGCCATGCGAACATTCTGCATGCAAATAGAAAGCGTACTCTGTCGCGAAGATCGAGCATTCGGAGGTGATGGACGAGTCGGGATATCGACCGCGTGTGGGGGGCTTGATGGATCCTCGCATGGGGACGATTGACCGGAACTACAAGTGTCAGACGTGTGGCGAGGGGCCGGGAGACTGTCCGGGACATTTTGGTCACATCGAATTGGCCAGACCGGTCTATCATGCTGGTGCGCATCTGGGCGCGGGGGTGATAAGGGATGACTAATGTTCTCGCTTCAGGCTTCCTGGTCAAAGTAAAGAAAATCCTTGAGTGTATCTGTGTGAATTGTGGCAAGCTCAAGGCGGATATTGGGGATGACACCTTCCGTGTCCTCGTGAAGCGGGCCGATAACCCCAAGAGGCGGTTGCAGATAGTCTGGGAGTATTGTAAGGGGAAGATGTTGTGCGAGTCGGACGACATGAAGGAGGAGGAAGAGGACCCGGAGAAGCCACAGAAACCTTCGCATGGTGGATGTGGTCACATACAGCCGTTGATTAGGAAGGATGGGCTCAAGCTGTTCTTGGTGTACAAGAAGCGGAAAGGAGATGATGATGATGAGGTACGCGACATGTTCGATGCTTCCAAACTGTATTTAACAGCAAGCACAGGATGTCAAGCTAGCTCAGCCGGAAAAACGCCTGCTCACCGCAGCCGAGGCACACTCCATATTGCGGAAGATACCGACAAGTGACCTCCGACTTATGGGTCTCTCTGAACGATACGCCCGACCAGAATGGATGATTCTCTCCGTCATCCCCGTCCCGCCTCCGCAGGTTCGACCGTCAATCATGTCCGACTCACTACGGAGTGAGGACGATCTGACGTACAAGCTTGCGGACATCCTCAAGACCAGCGCGACGTTGAGGAAACATGATGCCGAGGGTGCACCGGCGCATGTTGTATCGGAGATTGAGCAGCTTCTCCAGGTTAGTGATGGCTGGACACTTAGTTGTCTGGCCGTTCTAAACTTGCACAGTTCCACGTTGCAACATACATGGACAACGAGATTGCTGGCCAACCTCGTGCGATGCAAAAGAGCGGAAGGCCGGTCAAGGCCATCCGCTCACGGTTAAAGGGCAAGGAAGGCCGGCTGCGCGGTAACCTCATGGGCAAGCGTGTCGACTTTTCCGCCCGTACTGTCATCACTGGTGACCCCAACATCGCGCTGGACGAAGTCGGTGTTCCTAGAAGTATTGCAATGACGCTAACATACCCTGAACGAGGCCGGTCTTATTTACTGGCTTGATCGAATTGTACTGACAATGGCACAGTGACTAAGTATAATCTTGAAAGGCTTACCGAACTCGTTCGAAATGGCCCTGTAGAATATCCCGGCGCGCGGTATATCATCCGTGACACGGGCGAACGTATAGATCTGAGGTATAAGAGGGGTGATGTTAGTTTGCAGATTGGCTGGGTGGTGGAGCGGCACTTGAGGGACGGAGAGTGCGTATTTCCTCCTCTACGTTGAGAGCCATGCTCATCCAGCTCAGCTATGTCCTCTTCAATCGACAACCGTCGTTGCACAAGATGTCGATGATGTCCCATCGTGTTAGGGTGATGCCATATTCGAGTGAGCACATCGTCTCTCTTGCCTGCGTCATAATACTAATCCGTCCTCAGCTTTCCGACTGAATCTCTCCGTGTAAGTATAGGCAATGGCTGGACATCTGGCCATGCTAACCTGTAACAGAACGTCGCCGTATAACGCAGATTTCGATGGAGACGAGATGAACTTGCACGTACCTCAAAGTGAGGAGACGCGCGCCGAGTTGAAGGAAATTGCATGGGTGCCTCGTCAGGTTCGTTCTCGCTTGATGTGCTCTGCGAGTTCCGTCTCATACTAGTGTCAGATCGTCTCACCACAAGCGAACAAACCAGTCATGGGGATTGTGCAGGACACCCTTTGTGGTATCTATAAGATGACCCAGCGCGATATCTTCCTGGACTGGCCACTTGTGCAAAACATCCTCCTGTGGGTACCTGACTGGGACGGCACTATTCCCCACCCGTGCATTATCAAGCCGAAACCCATGTGGTCTGGCAAACAGATCATCGCCCTTGTCATTCCTCAAGGTATCAATCTGGCGAATGGCAACCTCTCCATCGGAAACCCGATCAACGATGACGCCCTCATCATCGAAAACGGCGAGATCATGATGGGTATCTTTAACAAGGGTATTGTTGGCTCTTCTGCTGGCGGTCTCATCCACGTGGTGTTCCGCGAACGAGGTCCTGAAGTAACCCGAGACATGATCGGCGGTATTCAGACGGTCGTCAACTACTGGTTGTTCCATAATGGCTTCTCTATTGGCATCGGCGACACCGTCCCCGATAAGCCCACCGAGAAGTCTATCATGACGAATATCGAGACGGCGAAAGAAGACGTGCGAAAAGTTGTGGAAGAGGCCGTCAAGGGCTTGCTCAAGCCCAGGCCTGGTATGACCATTCGCGAATCTTTCGAAGCTTCCGTGAACGGTATCCTCAATCAAGTCCGTGACAAATCCGGCAAGTCGGCCCAGCAGAGTCTGAAGCGCGATAACAATGTCAAGACCATGGTCACGGCCGGCTCCAAAGGTTCGTTCATCAACATCTCCCAGATGTCTGCCATGGTGGGACAGCAAAACGTTGAAGGACAACGTATCCCGTTCGGATTTAAGCATCGGACCTTGCCCCATTTCACAAAAGACGACTTCAGCCCCGAATCTCGCGGTTTCGTCGAGAATTCGTATCTTCGAGGTCTCACCCCTCAAGAGTTCTTCTTCCATGCCATGGCTGGTCGTGAAGGTCTGATTGATACCGCTGTCAAGACTGCCGAGACTGGTTATATCCAGCGTCGGTTGGTGAAGGCCATGGAGGATGTTATGGTTGCCTACGATGGTACCATCCGGAACTCTCTGGGAGATGTTCTGCAATGGACCTATGGGGAGGACGGCATGGACGCAGCCCATGTCGAAGAACAGAAAATGTCGCTCCTCACAATCAGTGACGCGGTATTCCAAAAGAGCTTCCGGGTTGATATTCTCGCCGGTGCCGGTGCAGGCTTCTCTAGAAATGCTCTGCAAGTTGGGATCATTGATCCGAAAAAGGAGTTTGATGTCCAAAAGCGGCTCGACGAAGAATTTCAACAGCTGCAAGATGATCGTCGCTTACTGCGCACGTTTATCTTCCCCAATGGCCCGCCGAAGCGGTTGGTCTTGCCAGTCCCTATCTCGCGTATTGTTCAGAATGCCAAGGCAGCCTTCGAAATCGATCGTCGACGATCCAGTGACCTCGACCCTGTCTATATCATTGACGAGGTCAAAGCACTATGCACCAGGCTGAAGGTTGTGCCAGGAGAACACGCACTTGCTATGCGCATGCAGCAAGACGCCACACTCCTGTTCCAAATCATGTTGCGTGAACAGCTTGCTGTTCGTCGTGTCATCGAGGAACATCGACTGCAGAAGGTTGCGTTCGATTTCATTGTCGGAGAAATCGAGCAACAGTTCCTTCGTGCGCGTGCCCACGCTGGAGAAATGTGCGGTGTACTTGCGGCGCAATCCATCGGAGAACCCGCCACTCAGATGACGCTGAACACGTTCCACTATGCTGGTGTGTCCAGCAAGAACGTGACCCTCGGTGTGCCTCGGTTGAAGGAAATCATCAACGTTGCTACCCACCTGAAAACTCCTCGTCTGAAGGTGTATCTCGATCCAAATGTCGCCATATCGCCCGAGGCATCCAAGGCTGTCCTCACCGAGCTTGCACATGCTACTCTGCGCACTATTACAAAGTCGACCGAGATCTATTACGATCCTGAGCCGTCAACGACCCGCATTGAAGAAGACCGTGACTTCGTTGAAGCCTTCTTCTCAATTCCCGACGAGGAGGTTGAACAGAAGATGAACCTCCAGTCGCCTTGGTTGCTGCGTCTAGAGCTTGATCGAGCTCAGATACTTGACAAGAAGCTCGAGATGAGCTACGTCGCGAGCAAGATTTCAGAGGCCTTCCAATCTGACATCTTTGTCATCTGGTCGGAAGACAACGCTGAGAAGCTAATTATTCGGTGCCGTGTCATCAACAATCAGTCCGACAAGGATGAATCTGGAAATATCGAGGAAGATGTATTCTTGCGCAAGCTTGAAAACACGATGCTCAACTCAATCAGTCTTCGTGGTGTAGACGGCATCAGCCGAGCTTTCATGGTACAGGACAGCAAGACAGTGCTGACACCCGAAGGTGACTACCGCACTGACAAGGACGACTGGATGCTCGAAACGGAGGGCATCAACCTAAAGAAAGTTCTTTGTGTCGAAGGAGTCGATGCCACAAGGACGACCACGAACTCTCTCCTCGAGGGCTTCGAAGTTCTGGGCATTGAAGCAGCGCGCGCAGTGCTCCTTACGGAACTTCGTGAAGTGCTCGAGTTCGACGGTTCGTATGTAAACTTCCGCCATCTCGCCCTGCTCTGTGATATTATGACATATCGCGGCACCTTGATGTCGATCACACGTCATGGGATCAATCGAACAGATGCTGGCGCGCTCATGCGTTGTTCCTTCGAAGAGACGGTCGAAATTTTGTTCGAGGCCGCTGCTATGGGTGAGAAGGATGATTGCCGCGGTATAGCCCAGAATATCATGTTTGGGCAAGTTGCGCCGCTGGGTACGGGGGCATTTGACGTATACCTGGACATGGATATGTTGAAAGACGTGCCGATCGACGAGGCCATTACTGCCGCTGAGTTTACCATGGACGGAGGCATGACTCCTGCTGCCGGCTCAATGACCCCCTATGATCGGTCGCCGGTGTATGAGGGAGGGTTCAGGGCAGAAGCTGCCGCTTTCTCGCCCCTGGTCATGGCCGGCGCGGACGAAACTTCGCAGTTCTCATACCGTGCTACTCTTGGGCAAAGCCCCCTCGGAGCCGGTCTCGGAGGTGCCTCCCCAGGCTATGCTCCCACGTCGCCGGCGTATTCGCCTACGTCTCCATTCGTGCCAACATCACCTGGATACACCAGTGGCGCAACATCGCCCTTCATCACATCCCCGTTGGGCGCAGGGGCCACGTCGCCGTTCTACGACCCTCGTCGCACTGCCGCCATGGCCACCTCCCCAACGTACTCGCCAACGTCTCCCGCCCTCCAGATGACGTCGCCTGCGTACACCCCAACGAGTCCGGCCTATACCCCTACGTCGCCGAACTTCTCACCTACCTCCCCATCCTTCTCTCCCACGTCCCCAAATCCACGGGCGGCCACTGGGTACTCGCCTACGAGTCCGCAGTATTCGCCTACGTCCCCGCAATACTCGCCCACATCTCCACAATACACCCCCACATCTCCGCAGTACTCACCTACGTCCCCTCATCTTTCACCTACTAGTCCACGCTACAGCCCCACTTCGCCGGTGCACGGTGCGTCGACGCAGTTCTCGCCCACATCACCGGCAATGATGTCTCCTACATCCCCGAGCTATTCGCCAGCATCTCCTGCTTATTGTGAGTCTCTCAAACATTCACAGCAACCTGTCACTGACTAGTTTACAGCCCCCACGTCGCCAGCGTATGAGGGAGCAGCGAGTCCCGCTCGTGGTAACCAACAGAACGGGCAGAACACTTCCGGGTACGCATCCAAGCAGAAGTTCCAAGCGTCTCCCTCTTGGGAGTAAGCAGTGGTGCGAACAATGAGCAACTGTAGACGCCTTTCATCTATGCACTCCATAACCTCTCTTGTTGCCTTTTCCCTCCATCGATCCCTCGACCGCTATCCATCGCCTCCTAACCACCGATCACGTCCAGTTATCTCCACCACTTTCCCTGTCCTGTGCGTACTTTACAGTTCCTGTCACATCCATAAACCCTGTAGTTCCTTGCAATGGTATCCGTCCCCAGGAGGACAGTTTGTATAAATGTTTGTGCGATCATGAACGAACACGGCGTCCGTCTGCTGGCACCGGATGCCGACAAAGAACCTCTGTCCTTACTCCCCAACACACAGTATCCGGTTACCAGGATGGCTTAACCCACCACCAGAATAACTTTGCCGCTCACTCTGTATCTTACGCAAGTTCAAGTCCCACTCAGACTGACGGACGCAAGCCGCCGGCATCCTCATTCGGACCGTGTGTGTAGCCCGCTATTCCCCATCTTGTGTTTTCCTTACTCTGCATCCTTGCATCCTTCTGCAAACAAGAAGGTAACAGCTTCATTAGAAATACAGCCCTACTGCCCACCCTGCACCCCGACCTACTGCGTCTTCTCCTTCCCTTCCGGTTTCGGACCTGCTGCAGCTGGTACCGGTATTTTCCCTGAGCCTGGCATGGCCATTCCCGCTGTTCTCTGGGTGACAACCACTGCAGGACAGTACATGAGCACTTTCCCGGTAAACGTCAAATGCCCAGGAAGCTCACCAAACAACTCCCTCCCCAGCCCTGCAGCGGTCTTCACCGCTCTCCTGCACGCAAACTGCCACATCGCGCAGCTAACGCTCCCCTTCGGCGCCCAGGGAAAGGACATCCACCACTCTAGCGGCCCTAACAAGCCCGGGGGGAGGTAGAACACCGCTTCCCGGCGGTAGTAGAATGTGAGGATGTACGGTGCTGCGGAGGTGAGGAGCCAGAGGATGACCTTGAACCTGAGTGAGAAGGCGCTTTTCTGGCTCGAGATCGCTGCGTCTGTTCCGAGTGAGCGGAGTAAGGCAGGAGATGAGAGAGGGAGACGCACTGAGTTTCTCAAGCTCTGAAAGTCCTTTGTCGACTTTCCGTCTCAGCTTGGCCCATTTGGCGAACTCGTCCTGGGCACTCGTGCGCAGTAGGTCCTGTTTATCCGCAAATACCTCCTTGCGTAGCTGGGCCTGACGCTTCGAGGGCTCAGGGGAGATGAGGCGGATATAGAGTGCGAATACCTGCGCACTAGGATGAGTGAATGGGCAAGAGACGTGGAGGGGAGGACGTACGCAGTCTTCTAGGACACTTTGTCCTACCCAGGATATAATTTGTGTGAATAGTACGAGAAGGAATATTGTCAATGCTAAGGAGGGCATTGTAGACAAATGAAAGTATACGGATGAGCGGTCACTGTCACTGTCACAACTGAAATGAACACACCGGCGGAAGCGGAATTTCTCATTTCCAAAATTAGAAGGACCCTGAATGATTTTTCATCGGTTGAACATTGGCCTCATCAACATACACCATGTACATCACAGCGAGGAGGACGGCGTCCCTCTGCCGTCGACAGCTTCAACGTAGACTCTTCTCCTCACAGACGTACACTCGCCCTCTACCCGCGGGCGCTCTCGAAGTATACGACCACGCACTCCTCTTCCTCGCCCAAGACAGAGACGTCAAGCTTGCCCGTATCTCTTCGCTCCAGGAGGAACTCCCCTCTCTCACGGGAGAAGCGGCAGAAGGATCGAAGAAGGAGATTGCGAGACTGGAGGTGGAGGCATGGATCAATGACCCAGAAGTGAGATGGATGCATAACATGGGATTATGTGCGTTTCTCTTTCCTAATGCTTGGTGTTTGGCGTATTGGGGCATGGGCTGATACCGAACAGGGGATATGAGCAAACCGGTATATCGACATCTAAGAGAGCAACAATGGCGAAAAGAAGGGGTCCTAGATCTCCTCGTACGACCCCTTCTCCCCTCCCTCCCACCTCCTAACCCTTCTTCCCGCAGATGGAGCGCCTCTGGCAGATGCACATCATACCCGATGTCCTCCCCTGGGTCGACCCTACCCTTGACATGCGCCTCCAGTTTCCTACTGAGCGAACGGAGGAGGTCGTCAAAATCAAAGGCAAAGACGATGTCGTCTGCCAGGAAGGGGACATCGAGCCAGGCACATTCGTCCTTCCTTCACAGGTCTGCCCCGTCTTGTCCCTTCCTTAAGAGCGCGACTGACTTCAGTATTCACAGACATCTAAGGAGCCCCAATTGTACGTGACCGCCTTCCACCCTGAAGAACGCTTTTACACGCTAGTGATGGTCGATCCTGGTCTGTCCGCCCCTCCTTCCCTCCTCCGTTTCCCCTAACGCTGCGCAGATGTCCCCTCACCAGAAACCCAGTCCTACAGCACCCTTCTCCACTGGCTAGTACCTAACATCCCCCTCTCCTGCCTCTCTCCTTCCTCGCCGATCGCCCTCCCCCCCGCGCTGCTGCCTTACATTCCTCCTCACCCGCAGCAAGGCTCGGGATATCATCGTTACACCACGTTCCTCCTCCCCCAGCGCGCCCTACTCACGGAACTCAAAACTCCCCTTCGGCGCAACTTCAACCTGCGCGACTTCGTCCGCCAGTACTCGCTCTCCGGCTCCCCAGTCCCAGGAGCACCAAAACCCATCCTCCCCGGGCACGGCAAAAAACGGAACGGGGTAGGCGAAGTCACTTCCCTCCATACGGGCGCGGAGGTTGGCGGTGGGGGAGTACACATGTTCCGCGAGGTGTGGGACGAAAGCGTGACGGCGCTTCATGAGAGGGTGTTTGGCGTGGGGGAGAGGAGGTTCGGGAAGTTGAAGCAGGGAGATCCGTACGTGGACGAAGAGGGCAGGAGGCCGAGGAGGTATTATTAGGGCTTGGACAAAATTGTGCACATTGTGCTGAGCGTGCGGTAATGAGAACGCATGTTTGCCTCCCTTGGGTTTGCCACATGAAGGCTGGATTATGATTTTCCCGGCAAACTGTCCATTCTTGTATGAGACGTTCCTCTATTCCAGCTACTCTTAAATTCTAGATCACCTTCGGACTCCTCTTCCCTTCGCCTCTCAATCCTGATGCCTCCTTACCCTCCCCTCGCACCTCTCCGGCAGCCACCTAAGCAACCCCGCGAACCCTAGTGCGATACCCACCAAGCCCACCCAAGCGAGATGTCCCGCCCAGACCTGGTGCTTCACCCCGTACGCAAAGAGGGAGGTGATGCACACTGGGCCTAGGGCGCGGATGGCGCTCGAGAGGGAGAGGGCAAGCCCGTTCAGCGTCCCGAGCGAGTGGGGGGAGGGGGTGATGTCGTTTAGCACTAATTGGACTGCGGCTGGAGGACGTTAGCGGGAACACTGCGGCAGATGCGACATGGGAAAGGGGAGAAAGGAACGCACTGAAGGACATGCTCACGCTGCTACCTAGCAGAGCGGCGATAGGTAGCAACACCCAGAACGCCGTTTCCCTCCCCGCTCTGAGGAGCATATTGAGCGCCGGGAGCGCGGCAAGCCCGAGCGGTCGCGCGATCGCTGTGAGGCGGAGTACGTTCCCTGTCCCTATACGGTGCTGCATAGGGGGAAAGACAAGCAGGATCCAGAAGGCCTGACCCGCTCCTCCTGCTGCGAGATAGAGCGAGATCTGGGGTGGGGTGAAGCTCCACCCGCCGAGAGAGATGGGTGTGTACGCGAAGAGAGGAAGGAGGGCAGTGAAGAGTACGGAAATGAGCATCACGTATTCGAAGATTAGCAGGGCGGGGAGTACGCCGGGGGAGACGAGGAGCTGGATCGTTGTGAGAGGCTTCGTGGTGGCCGTGGTGGTTTTGTGGGATATACCAGTCTGGATGGGCTGAGCATGGAAGGAAGTGGTGAAATGGGAGGCGGGCTCACCTCCTTGAGCCACAATAAGTTGGCAGCACAAGACAGTGCTGTACATGCCCCGCTAACAATACAAGGAAAAAGATAAGGGTAGCGCTCAAATATCCACACACCCCCAAACAAGCCCGGGTACTGGCTTGCAGGCTTGGACAGCGCACCACCGATAATGGGGCCGATGAAAATGCCCATGTTGCCGGCGAACATGAACAGGCTAAAGGCGCGTGCTTGGTTACGCGGTGTAGAGTTCTCGGAGATCATCGTTCGCACAGTACTGATGGAAGGTCAGCGATGTCGCGCAGGGAGGATGAGACGTACACCAGAGTACCGGAGAACACGCCCGCGATGCTCCGCAGTGCGATCATCTGCCACACACTTCCCGCCAAGCCAAAAACGACCGATCCGACTGCAACACCCGCCAGGCTGATGACGAGCACGGGTTTCCTACCCCACCTATCGGCAGCCTTGCCCCAGAAGAGCATGCTCACAGTCTGCATGAGGGAGAAGACGCTCTCTATCCACCCACTCCAGAATCCCACGTCGGCCGTGGGGACGCTGGCTAGCTCGTGTATCATTTGGTTGACGAAGGGGAAGATGCTGAAGAAAGCTATGGGCTCGACGAACCGGGCTAGGCAGAGGAGGAAGATCTGGGTTTTGGGCAGCGGCTTATCGAGCTCTTCTTCTCTTGCCGATTCGCCATCTGCTGGACGGACGGATACGGAGGCGGCGGAGACTTTGAACACCCTACCGTCCTCGTTCGCTGCTGCAGAGGGGGTAGGAGGGATGCTAGGTCCCGCCGTAGTGGACGGCGAGGGTGGTTCAACGACCAGTTCCGCCGAGGGCTTGTGTTCCCTGTCCCGGGATGCGATAAGCGGCGTCGACTCGCTAATAGGCTCCTCAGCAGTCGCAGTAGCCATAGTGATAGATGTCCCGGTTGGGGAGTCGACGAAGTGGGAGCAGACCAAGCTGTGAACTTTTGCTCAATCTCTAGCAGGCGGAGGTAGTAACCCGCCTAGTATCCGGTTGAGCTATTCTCGGCCCGCGGGGTAGGGGCCATTATCAGCCACGGCCATCTTTTCACAAGCAGTCTGTTGGCCTTCCCCAGAGATTATTAATGAATAGATATTATCCGCCTTGTGTTGATGTCGACATTAGCACGTTAGCATGAACAATTCAACATCAACAAGTGTCGGCGTTGGCCACACAGCGCTCAACGCCGAAAGAAGCGCCCGGCAGCGGAAGCAAAAAGTTGGAAGTAGGGGTTCACGGGCAACTTCACCAAACGAACTTGCTCTCAGACTTTGTGTGCTTCATCAAATAAGTGCTACACAACATGGCGAAACCAGCTAAGCGCCCTCGGGGATCCTCTCCCACTCCTGCTGCTTTTCCTTCAACAACATTCGTCACTGCCCCCGCTGACCGACCCACAAAAAAACCACGCAAGTCCAAGCATCGACTTGCCCACATCTCGGACGGCAACCCAGGGGAGTTCGAGTTCTCTCAAGAGGCCCAGCAAAGGCTGGAAGATGAGAGTGCGAAAGATGACGAGGAGAGAAAGTTGGAGGAGATGCTTTTTGGCAAGAAGAGGGTGAGGAGGGAGGGGAAGAGGAAGGGTGAGGTAGCGACGGAAGTCGTGGACTTGACTGAAAGTGGATTGGAGCATTTACAAGATGAAAATGTGAGCTTCTTTTCTATGTCAAGTGGTCAAGTGTCAAGTTTCTCAATAATTGTAGCTCTTTTTTGTGGATGATGCTCTGGAGGGCATGGACGGTCCAGTTCTCGGTGATATGGAGGCCGCTTCGGAGGATGAATTCCCAGGGGAAGAGGAAGAAGAATTCCACGGGTTCGGTTCCGCCAGTTCCTCAGGCCCAGAAGAAGACGACAACGACGACACAGACTTATCCAAACCCTCCCCCGCACCTCTCTCTGCGCCTGCCGTCTCATCCCGCAAAAAAGCTGCCTGGACAGACCCCTCCGACAGCACGCTAACCGTCTCCCTCTCCTCCAATCGTCTGCGCAAGCTTCGCCAGTCAGCAGCAGAGGACAGTCTCTCTGGACAAGAGTACGAGCTCAGGCTGAGACGAGAGTTTGAGAAGATCCAGCCAGCGCCGGAGTGGGCTAAGCCGAAGCGTAACAAACGGGTATCAGAGGGAGAGGAAGGGGAAGAAGGAATCGACTCCCTCCTACACGGGACAGCAGACATCGTCCTCCCATCGTCCAAGAGCACCTCTCTTCCATCAGGAGAGCTCCAGCTCACCCGGCTCGCAGACGCCAACCTCTCCTCCCCCTCTTCTTCGAGCTGTATGACCTCTTTCCACCCCTCGCTTTCCATCCTCAGCACCGCCTCCGACCGCCGGCTCAAGCTCTTCTCCATCGACGGCGCCCGCAATCCCCTACTCCAATCTATCCATCTCCCGGATTTGCCCCTCACAAAAGCGGTCTTCAACCCCCAAGGCACGGCTGTCCTCTGCACAGGTCCAAGACCATTCTGGTACAGCTACGACCTGCTCTCTGGACAGCTTCTCCACTCTCCTCGGGGCCTGTGGGGATCCCCTAGTGCTCAGAACTACGAGGACGGAGAACGCTCGCTGGAGATGTGCGAGTTCTCACCTGACGGGACCCTCCTTGCGGTAGGGGGAAGGCGGGGGAATATCTATTTTGTTGATATGCGTGCTGGTGGGGCGAGTGGGCAGGTGTTAGGAAGCGTAAAACTTAACAGCGCGGTCACTGCACTCCAGTGGACCCAGCCAGAGGGGAAGGAGATCCTAGCCGTTGGCGAAGAGGGAGAAGTGTACGTGTTTGACGTGGCTGCGCGCAGGTGTGTGAGGAAATGGAAAGACGAGGGTGCTTTTGGGGCTAGCGCACTAGCCGTGAGTGCGGATGGGCAGGGGATGGCCCTGGGGGCGAGGACGGGGATTGTCAGCCTTTATGATTCTTCTGCTATGAACACGGGGATGGGTCAGGGGAATCCCAAGGCGCTCAGGACGGTTATGAATCTTACGACAAGGATCTCTTGCTTGAAGTTTAACAGGAGTACGGAGATCCTGTGCTTGGCTTCGAAGGACCAGAAAGATCAGCTGAGGATGGTACGTATTCCTGTGTTGAGAAAGACTTGAGCTGAGGATATGTAGATGCATGTGACTAGTAATACGGTCTTCTTCAACTGGCCGACGTCGGGCACACCTCTGGGACACGTTACGAGCGTCGATTTCTCTGCGAGTGACGAGTACGCCGCGATTGCCAACACAAGGGGCAAGGTTTTGTTGTACCAGCTTCGTCATTACATACAATAGGAATGCATCATGGGCATCATAGTGTTAATTCATCGAGTTACCTATCTGGGGATGAGAATGGTAGTAGCGTGGCGTTGATCCTCGTTGAGGGACACCGCAGTGACCTTGAATCAGCTTCGCGATCCGGGGCTGGTTGAAAGGTTTCACCTTATTCAGCACTTAAAGTGAAATTTTTCGTTGATTTTCCTGGCGAACGATGAGCTGCTAACTTCGCACACGAGTCAATGAAATTCAGACTTTTGCACCGTGTCAAGCTGGAGAGACATCATTCATTACCCGAATAATCAGTGCATCCTTGCTCACCCGACGAAGATACTCATCCCCACCCGGCACGAACGCGCAAAGACTCCTAGCGATCGCGAACCAAGCACGGCCTCCATCAACATTGGACATGCGGAAGTCTTCAATACCAGCATTATGCGCAGTGGAAAAGAGCCATTGTCGCTCCTCTGTCGGATACAGCTACGCCATGCGTAACGCGTCAACTTCCAGGTGTAGACCCGGCACCCGCGTATACGCACTTCACTGAAATCAGCTCGATCTTTCCACAGCTGTAGCACATCGATTGCCTGCTTGAAGTAGTGCGTCGTTTTTTGGCGATCGTTTGGTCCTCCCCGCTGCAGTAGCAGGTCGCAGACTGCTCGCAACCACCTGCAGAACTTTGCCATAGGTAATCGGTCAGTTTCGAGGCTGGTGCGTAAGATTGCCTGGATCTGGGATTAAGTCGGACAGAACGCTCATTAGGTCATCGAGTACCTCAAGGGCAGCATGCACCACTGTGGCAGTAAGCTATCAGATGCATCGTACACTAAAGGGCGTACCACCAATGGGGCAATGATTGTTCTTCCACAATATATCTGCTATCATCTCCAGTGCGTCCATGTTGGTACAGGGTACGAGACTAGTTTCCTATATGGGATAAGCAAGCGTGCACCCGGAGGACAGCCGGCCCGGACATGACAAACCTGAATGAGCCGAGTGATGGGATCCCATTGCCCGAGATACGCGAGCTGTTCGACTTCATAGACCACACAAGTTTGAAGCATCTTTCCAAGGCGAGCTTCTTCTTCTCCCGGGGTAGATTGTTGTAGAGCAGTATTCAATCGCGTCTTACAGACTACAATCTCTTGTAGAGCCTGACGATGCAAGGCCAAACGCACTTGTGCATCTTTCGTCCCTCGTGCAAGGAACACTGTTTTCTTCAGCAAAAGTAGATGCTACGGAAAGTTGCGGCTACCTTTCCCCGAGATAACCAGGAAGCTTGCGATTGCTTTATGCACGGTAATATAGCCATCCGCACCGTTGGAGAGAGTCTTTTCACAGCATTCCATCAGCTGGTCAAGAACGACCGACAGTGAGCCTTCTCCAAATAGCCTCTGAGTCGTGCATTTTACTTACCAGTATTGCGTGCCGAAAAAGTTCAGAGACAGCATCATCATCCCAAACCGAACAGCCGCGTACTCCTGTGTTATAAATGGTACGCCATAGCCATTGGAGATCACTCGTGATGGAGACAGGAGTGATAGTCCGAAGGGCTTCCATCAGGTATTCCTGCACTAAATCGAGTTAATTCACTGGCACAGAAAAAACCAACGATTAGAACATACGGTTACCTAAATGCTGGAATAAGGCTGCCAAAACTTCCGGGCTATAAACATTGGCTGTTAAGCGACCACTGTGGCACAAGATATACATACGTGTCTTCGACAGGTTGGTCTAAACGATCAACCAGCAGTCGTACGATGCATCTGCAGGAGAATCAGACAAGAAGCAATTGAAACAACCTTAGTCTTACCGGTATAAATCAAGCATATTCACCTCTCCAGGCGGCTCTCCTCGAACGCGAAACACGTGAAGGAGCGCCTCCAAGACAGCTTGCACTAAACTCTTCATGTTGGACTCTTGCGCCAGTTGCATGACCATGGCTAGCTGTGAGCGCTCAAAGTCAGACGCATTTACCATGTCTCGTACTGACGCAACAGCTATCTCCAGCGATAAATTGGTCCAATGTACTGGTTGTGCGATAACGTACCATCCTCCTCTCGACCTTGGGCCCAAGTTGAGTTAGGATCAAATCATTCGGATGGTATGGGAGGTGCCTCACCTTCTTTTACAGCAATAAGAAGGTGTAAATAGTGAGTTCTGGCGTCTGTGATAGGGCATTGACTTGTGAGATGAGAGGCCTGTGCGAGGTCGCCAGCCTCTATCAGGCATAGCGCTGCTTTCCTTAATACTTTGGGGAAACTTGTCTTAGCCGTCGTTTTGAATGCGGAATGAGCACAAAGCGTAAAATACTGGGCGGCTTTCGCGTATTTCCGCGATTGATGGAACCGATCGCCGAAACTGACAAGGATCTGGCGCTTCCTTCTCAGCAGTCATAGTCAGATATCAATGAGTATCATCACCGTTTGACAGGCCAAAGAAGAGGTGCTGTCTAGAGCAAAGTTTTCGCAATGGGAGATGACTGGGGAACACTTCTCAGATGGCATCATGTTGTACAACAAACGGTACATGCGTTCGAGAACCGCTTCAATGCTGGAGTATGTTGTGTCATCCTCCAGTCGAGGTCTCGAGTATGTCATCAAAGTGATGAGAGTTTGACATACTGTATCTTGGGTGCTCGGCTTGATTATTTGTAAACACTGGTGGAGAAGAGTACGGGCGATGGTGATGACCAACGTTGACCTACGAAGGGAAGTTAATGTGCAACAGCTTTATAGGTTTTGTTTCGTACCCTCGTTCATTCAATGAGTTCATTTCGACGAGCACACTGGTTGATGATGAGTATTCGGGCGGGACAGAAAGGAATGCATCGGACCTCATTACTTCATCCTCTGTCGTATCCATGCAAGAAATGATTTCGCCAAACGCTGCCTCAATATAAGTAATGAAGGTCGCTTTTGTGATGAAGAACATCATGCCATCGAGCAGTTCCTTGTCACTGGCATTTCGTCGTTTGAGCACAGCCAATTTCATCCAAAGTGCCTGTTGATATTCCGCGGGAGACTGTAGCGAGCCAATTAGGTAGGCCCACAGGACTCTCTGTAACACTCGCCGATGTCTCCTTAACGAAGCGCAAGAGTTCATGGATGGCCTGTTCTGCTCTGACCAGGAAATCTGGGCTGTCCCCCGATGCCGCAAAATAGGCGCGTGCTGACGAGGATAAGATCGCTTTCAAATGCAAAGCAAAGGATATACCAAGGCTTCGCAATGTCGCACGCTGTTGTCATGTCAGCTAACTGTGGGAATACCCCCGTACGGCTGCAGCATACGTACCTTGATATCTTGGGTTCCCAGGGAAGTTTCTTCTTTCATTCGATCAAGCACTCTAAGTGCAGCCTGGAACCAATTGATCGCAACTCGGGCTCTGTCCCCGTCCATCCCTTTTGTGGTTCTTTCCTTTTTCTCTCGATCCCATGTACCCTTCATAATGTTCTTGCCAATATTCAATGTTTTTGTCCCCAAGAGTTCCGCCTGTGTGCTAATTGAGCAATCTCGCGACAATGTTTCAAGACACGTGTTTAACCTCGGAGATAGGAAGAAGAGAAAGACGTCGCTCGTCTGATAACAGGATCAAGTCGAGGACATAAGCACTTTCAAGGTAGAACCTACCCATCGCTTGTTGGAGCATGTATGACGCAACTGCCTGGTTGTTGGATTGTGCGGCCTGTTCATAGAACTCAGTCATAAGACAAAATAAATTCAGAACCCCTACAGCTTCCATTCGCTCAGAATAATATGCTGTCAGCGCCACTGCACGCTTGCTTGGTTCGACGTTCTCAGTGCTATCAGGGCCTTGTAATTGTCCTTCCATCTTCGAAAACGTAGGGTCAAATCTTTATCGTATCAGAAATACGAATACAGACTTTTGCCGCGGATTCCAGAATTGAATTCGCATTTTCGACCTCACCGATCCCTTGTCACTAAGGTCAGGATCGATTTATTCTTATTAATGTCAACTCACCTGACAATGTGCCCGCCGTCTTACTCGCGAGGTGGATCATTTGCACGAGGCCTACAGCGCACTCTTGATATCAGCTCATGTCGGGCAGGTCAACAGCGCAACTTGCTTTCAGTGGTAGGCGGAGCCTCCATCCCAGCCTCAAGGAGCCTATAAGCAGCATGACGAACTTCAACCAATAGGTGGCAGGTAAGTGTAGGGCATTGTTGTCACTCACGATGAGCATATATGCGCATCTGGACGTCTTCTTTTCCGGTTTCCGTACCTCGAAGATGTGTTGAGGTGTTCCACAGTTCGACGCCTGGGACTTCCTGTCAGATGGGATCACCACCCGATCTCGTACGATATACCGTGCTTGTCGAGTTTATCGGCCAATGGCTGCCAATCTGACTTTGCTTTTGCCTTCAACGCGCTAAAAGAAAGCGCCAGCGTTGTCAATTCGCGTAGGTTTGACTCCAAGGAGTCTGATGTATCATCCCAGTTAGTAAGACACGCGACGACATCGGCAACGAGGGCTGCTTTCCGATCAACACAAGATGTATGCGCATAAAATCGACACGTACTGTCAATCCTCCTGGTGAGAGACTGAAGTTCGTTGGTAGGCAGAATTCTTCTTCTTTTGGGAGATGGCCCTGAATCCATATTACCGTCGACGAGAGGGAGTCGTCAGAGCGTGTCACGGGGTGGTCGTATAATTGCAACGGAGACGCGGGATTGATCCCGTACACGGAAAACAAGCACCTTCTTTTGCTCATACCCCACATATACGCGCATCAAAACAGTCTATATTAATCGGCAAGTCCAGCATACATGCGAGAAGTTCAGGCTACTTCCCTCCACTCAACATTTTCCGGAAGTCATCTTGCCCTTTGTTGGTACCAGCTCCATTGACCGCTCCACTATTGCTGGTAATACCAGCTCTGCCCGCACTTGCTTGGCTGCCCGCAGCGGCTCGAGTTGCACGCCCAGCAGTACCCTTGTGGCCCAAACCAGCTTTCGGTCGCGGACCAGCCGTCCGTGGGGCGAACATGCCAGTGGAGGATCCCGCCGCTGGTCGTACTGCCTGTGCAGCGGACTCCTCCAGGACTTCCAGAGGATGGCCATTGACGACGATACGGTCCGAAGACAGAGTCAATTTACCAGCATCCTAGCTGTATGTGAGATATTTGACCATGGGAAAAACAGCAAATACACACCGCAATAGTGTCGCACTCAACAATCGCCTCATCTGTACCGGTCTTCATCACAACTTTGCGAACACTGGCGTGTTTCTCAACCACTTGCTGGATGATTGCTTCTTGTGTCCCTGGTGGAATCTTCCGCAGTCTCACGCTGCGGTTACGCAGATCTACTTGACGGCCTTGCCCTGTACCAGGCAGTTCTCTGAGCTCGAAGTCAATATAAGGAAGCAAGAAAATCAAGGAAAACACCTACTTCCGCGCATGAACCCTGGCATCTGCAAGGGTGACGGCGAGACGTCGTTTTCTAAATTCGGTATTGTTCAGAGATAAAGCCGCCTCGGCACCAACCTGAAGTGGACGCTATGTTAGGAGAGGAGCAAACTCAAGGGAACATCGACCGACCTCATCCTGAAATTCTACGAAGCCAAAACCTTTGCACAGCCCGTCGGGGCCGAGAGCCAGCCGCACCTCCTTCACACTGCCCTTCTCACCAAACAGCTTTTCCAGCTCTTCTTTTTTTACACCCCTGGCGAGGCCAGCTACGTACACTTCACGCTTATCAGCGCCGGCGTCCGTGCGCTGCTTCTTTCGCGTGGGATCCGAGATATTGACGCTTATCCGACGGTCATTTTCGAGCTCTTGGTCATTTAAAGACAAAGCGTCATTTGCTGACGACTGGGTGAATTGTGAGCTAGGGTACATCACCATAGTGAGCCAACATACTGGTGAGGTATATTGGACATAGCAGAATCGCCTTGTAGTATTGATTCGCTTGCTGGGCCACCGAACGTCAATGATCGTTCCAAACTAGCATAACTTGGTTAGTAATAATCCTGAGACAACCTTAGGTTGCGTGCTCACAGGGGAAAAAAGTTGCCGAATTGTAGGGTCATCGTATTTCTCCGGAAAATTGGTGACAAACAGGGTACACTTCCATGCCAGATTGACGGCAATCTCTGCCCCACTGATTCGCTTTTTGTCCTTTGTAAGCGCGGCTGGCACGCTGTCCTATAAGTTCATCATCTTATTCAAGTATAATTCTGGAGTAAAAGAGTTGTCTCACCTTGGTCATGAATTCCACAGTTGCGACATGGTTTCCAGGCACCTCACTAAGCTTGATCTCTCGGATTTCCCCGCACTGAGAAGACAATGAGCGATATCTCAGACAAGAAGATTTGACCTTACATCACGGAATAACTGCCGCAGTGCATCCTCCGTGGCATCCATAGGCAATCCAGAGACCAAAACAGAAGAATTCTCGCGATCACTAGGGCAACAATTAGCCACATCTTTAAAGAAAGAGGTCTGGATGCTTACCGCTTGAGATAGGCCGGCTCCGCAGGAGCAGGGGACATTGATACTTGAGCTGGCTGTTCGACCACCTGTTCCGCAGCACGGGGTCGTTTTGAGGCAGAACCTTCTCCTTCATCTTCTGCCTTACGCTTCTTCTTGGAATCTCGATGGCTATCAACTGCTGAATCCACATCCATACCAGCAACAGGTTGCGGAACACTCTCAACGGCCTGCAGTGCTTGCTGTTCGGCTTGGATATGTGTGGTTCGGGCCATATATGTTTCTGCTTCCTGCATAATATTCAACCACCGCAAGCAGCTATCAAAGACTAACCTACCTCCTGTCTTTTAGTGGTCACCTTGTCCGACAAATGTTTCACACGAATCAACGCTGCCTCCACTTCGTCGGCCGTCCCAAAGCGATGTTCGAAGTCAATCCAGGCGTCGAAAATAGCTTCAGGCCAATCCAGCTGGCTGCGGACGGCAGCCTCTTGGTAGGTCCGGCGCGCACGGTTAATATCACGCAAGTCTTGCCTATGAAGATGCATGAGATTGAGGGAGACTTGTGGGGAAAGATCTCTCACCAGATGAACTGAGCATACAGAGACCAGGCGAGATACGAGTTGGAATAAAACGTTACTGCGCTGCCCCATACCTTCCGAGCGGTTTCCATTATTTCTTCGCTAGGCTCATGCAGATCCACGTACTGCCTGATGATCAATATCAAAACTTTCGCGAGATCGCTGCTGTGCTTACAATACTGCTCCAGAATTTCTCCAAACGTAACCGGGGATCGGCCCCTTCGAGAGAACGGACCTTTTTAACTGCGGTTTTCAGCATAGTGGTCAGGATGTCGTGTAGTGCTTCATCCGGTTCTTTTAACACATTAGTAAATGTGGTCCCAGTGCGCGGAATGGGTTCTTCACCTGGAGTATCAGAACTCATTAGAAGCCGCTTGAGCTGTGCACCATAGGCGAGCGTAATCTCGACCACATCGGAAGCAGACAATAGGTTTGTATCCATGGCACCAGCATATACATCTGCCACGGAACGTCAGACACGGCGTTACTTCAACAACCTCGCTAACATACCAGGAATCTGTTCTGCAAGATCGTGTCGTTCCTATATACAATTATGTCATTTCCAGATGAAAGGGTGGTATCGCACGACGGACCAGAGTTCGAATGTACGCCGCCCACACTTCACCATTTTCAGGCACCGAACGGATTGCGCGAGCAAACAAGGACATTTCGAGGTGCTCGTCCCCAGCATGTTCGATCTGATGCACGTGATCAGTCTCAGAATAGGGGGACGTGCTGAGTGACACACGATAAATCTAATGAGGTCCATCCAGAATACGCCTTCCCATTTCCCGGCGGCAACGCCTTCATCCCCTTCTGCAGATCGTCGACCCGCTGCGTCTGCTATCGCACGTTCATACAAGCATCTGACCCGTTCGGTTTTGAGCGCGTGCGGGTTCTTCTCCCAGCGAAGGTAGGCAGCATATGCGGCCGGGCCGTTGACCTGGAATACAATCAGCACAGGAGTAAAATGTGCTATCCCTGAGACGCACCAGGGCCCTCTCATGATCGGCTCTCTTGGACCATTCTCGCAGCGCATTTTGCCGAGCAGCAGAAGCTTTGACCATCGTGTCCTCATAGGCTGCGGGTGGCAAATATGTAGACACGAAGCCAGAATAAGCTTCGAAAGTAGAGTCGTTCGCTGAGAACATTGTCAATTGCCGCCACAAATAGATATTCGTAGCTTATGCTCACAAGCATGCGGGAAATCCAGACGTGCAAGATATGCTTCGTGTAGAGTGGCGATTCGGTCCTGTCGGGCTTCTTCGATCGCCTCCAACCTCGACAGCTCCCACTCGATCCACAGGTTCCAGACCTCGGACCCGTGCGCCATATCCCCCTCCCCGCGGCTGACAACTTCCTGCAACTTCGTACGGATATCATCCTCATTGTATCCACTCATTTTGAACCCTTCTTCGGATAACGTCAACTCTGACACCGTTATGAGGAAAGTGGCGTGACGTTTGAGAATCTCGATCGCTAGTATTTTGTCAGTTATCTCACATAGGGGAGCTATAGAAATCGTACAGAGGTAGTCAGTTTCTGCTTTGACGAAGAGTTCATGCATCGCATTGACGGCTTCCAATTCTTCAATACTCGTCTCCTGAGTCCTCTCATCGAGAATTGGTAGCCAGACACCTATTGATATCATCAGTCACAGTCAAGAGTGGGATCGCTAAACACCCACTTTCCGGTACTGCAAGAAGGGAAGTGTACATATCGCGCGCCGTGCCTAACTGAGCGGCAAGTACCGGGGTCGATTTGCATAGGGCGAGATGTTGAATGTGCAGCGAACGATTCATTGGTGTTGCCGTTATCGAGTCCAGGAGATTGGACAGAGCGACAAACGCGTCCGCATCGTTGGATGACATTTGAGCGTCTGCTGCTCCGGGCTCTGTCATTGGCTCGTCCGTTATTTCGACATAACCGACGTCCTGCATCGTCGTTTTGGGTTGATGTAATCAACGGGGGCGCGACTCACGCGCATACAAGCCACGACACCTTAACGGAACCTTTTGGGAGCAACTTCTGCCAGTCCTGTGATGAAGAAATGGTGGTATGATCACCCTTTGCGGAAAGGACAATTGAACAAGCAGATATGATATGCATCAAGGGGATCTCGCTTCAATCTGGTTCTACTATGTTCCAGCTCAACCCATTCCATTTATCCCATATTGCTTCGATGGATCTCCCTTCGCTAAATCTAACGGTCTTGTTCGAGTAGCCGGTGCTTCAAAAGCCAAAACTTCGCAATTTAAAGCGCGCGTCTGGAGAAGACTCGGGTACTTTCCCTGTAAACGTGTGCGCTACGGTTCAGGAGGCGAATCCCGATATCAGACGGTAGTGAGCTCTTCCACAATTTGAATTAAGAAGTCCCAAACAGTACATAGTGGCACCAATCTGCAGGGTGCCTACGGACGTCCTTGGGCCCTAGCAGGTCTGTGATTGTCATTGAAGGGGTCGCATGGTGAGGTACCAACATAATGGATGGACAAGATATGCCAACAACTTGGAGTTGGAAATGCAAAGCCGTCGTGGTAAACGCCTAACCCAGGGGTCCCTGATTCATCCTGTTCGACTGGCGGGAGGCGGTCATTGAACTCGCTCTTCACATCAGGGTCAGAAGCCCTTATTGATTGGATACCGGTTCGGGGTTAAGGTAATCGGACCCTCGAAGCCTCTCCACTGTGTATATTTAGGCAACCGACCGAAGAACACACTGCGCCAGGACCGGAAAAGCCCGAGCCGCAGGCACACCCACCTTCCAAACACGCTGCAGCGGTGCTGATCAATAAGGTGCGCCGTATTGGCAGGCAGATTCTCCGCGCATACCTGAGCCTTCGAAATGGAACCGCTGGCTTGACAACACTCTTTCCAAAAGCAGGCGACCCCAATTAGACCTAGTCACGCACCCATACGGCGCTCGTTGAATAGTCTGACTGTGCCTCGTGAACAAGCAGTGATGACCGCGCGGCAAGGCAAAAGAGAAACGATTTCGAGATGATACCAACATATTCTTCTCAGTGATCCGACGGTTCCCAAGAAAGAAGTTCGGCGATAGCGATTCTCCAACGCGGCCCCGAGAGCACCCGAGTGAACCGCGAGAAAGAGACCACGTCTAGAAGAATTAATATTGCTTGTATACGACTCTTCATCCTCTGAACGAGGGATCGCCCATTTGCTCGCGGACGAGTCGTTGTCCGCACAGATCCAGCCCACCCCACCCCACCCCCAAGGGTGCCAGACAGACTTCTGCAGGAGGAATGGTGTTTCGATCGCGACCGGGAGGCTGGACCTGTCATTTGGGTGTCAAACGGGATCAGGTCAAAATTCGGCTTTAACCGCAATGTAGGGGCCAATCAGGGTCTATTTTCTGGGGAAATAAATTCATATGAAAGTGCCACAGCGTGAAAGACGGGACCAAAGTCCAACTCCGAAGCTCCAGAAGCTCCGTCTAGCTTCGAAAGCTTCGAACAAATGATTTGTTGTTAAACTTCTGCAGCAACCGCAATGGATATTGCGTTTTGATGAAAAACGGGAGGAGACGACGGGAAGGAACAAATTAGGATGGTGATGTCTCAGGGACATTCACTTCTGTAATCTCCGGCTGGTCTCCGCCGATACCACGTGTGTGGTGAAGCGGAAGCAGATGCCTTCAGGGCCCAGCGGGGGGCGACCGAACCCAAGTTTATAATTCGCCCACACAATCCAAATCTACCCTTCCTTCCTTCCTTTCTTCTGCCGCAGAACGAACGGAGATGAGAAGCTGAGACGCTACTTCATCCTGTAAATACTGCATTCTGGCCCAACAGCTTCTTCAGCGATCTATCCAATCAACCCCCACCATCTTCTGCAGCTCACGTTATCCTCCGTTATCCGAATTTGCGCGAACCGCCGGTGATCTAGGGCTCTTTCTAGGGGGCCTCAGCGCTTCGTTTCCTCCTGCCCTATTTAACCCTTCCCCCTGACCTGCAGGCGCGAGTGCCTCTCTACGACCTAAGTGTCGTTTCCCACCTCCACGTTATCCCACTCCATCTGCTCAAGTCAGGCTATGGCAATGGAGAAACTCGAGGGCCTCGGTTGGAGTAGGGTTGCATTCATATCAGTTTATATCTCTCTAACCTCCCTTGAACCCACTGTCAGTCTCCATCCTTGATGTTTCCTACAACCCCACAGTCCTCTATGTCTCTGATTCCCTACTATTTATCTTGGGTAAAACATGTCTACTACTGTCTCGGGGCCCATAGTAACCTATTTTAGGTTGGACACCAGAGGAGATGGTTGGAAACCCGATTTTGGATTACATTCATCTCAAGGAGCATGAAAAGGCGAAAGCTCTCATCATGTGCGTATATCATTCACATGCAGAGGATAAACTGCCCAATACTGTGACTGAACTCTGTCATCTTCTGGTTTCATCCGTCCAGGCATGCCCTAATACACGATTCGGTCGCGTCTTTGACGTATCTGACAATGCGGCACAAAGACGGTCATGAAGTCGTGGTTGTGAGCTCCTATAACTGCGCGTACGATGTAAGCCATTTTGAACGATGACGTTGCTGATCGCTCCATAACCACTCCTTTAGCGAGTCATTTGTTCTGGTTCTGTTGCAGTACCCGGTCAAAAGGCACGACGTAAGTGTCCATCGATTCTGGGAGACGGTTCTGATATCCAGATTTAGTCCGATCTCTGACCGCTAACGAGTTCGTGCCCGTTACAGATATTCCACGCGCTCGCTATCAGGCCATGGTGAGCGATTCCTTCCCGATCCTATTTGTTCTGCTGACTCCACTTCCGCAGCGCTGGGGCAAGCCCATCCATGGAGATCCACTGCCTGCGGCCATGGAGATGGCCAAGAACCCTCCACCTGTCCCCCAAATGGAGAAGCGTACCTGCGTATTCGTCAATCGCTTCACCCGCGATAGCACAATCTATCACTGCACGAATGATTTGTATCTCAACATCGATGACGTCTACGAGCACTCTTTCCTCCACTATGTCCATCCAGATGATGAAGAAAAAGTACGTGAAATTATCAACTCTGCCAAGTCCTGGAACAGGCACGGTGACAGCGCAACGGACGGCGGATTTGAATACTGCGTTTTCCGACTGTTCCCACGTGGTCGGCCACTCATCACGACGCCGCCCAGACCTGTGAGGGCTAATAAACGGTCGGTACTCCGTTCGGGGACTTCGTATGGTGCTAAATGAAATCCAATAGCCGTCGCTCTCGCTCTCCACCAGGCGGGCGCAAGGGCCAGACATCTCCCTCCGTCCAGGAGAACCAAGGTACAGACAGAAAGCCGACCAAGGATGGTTCACCAGAACAACAGGCTAGTGGTTCTCTCCAAGAAGTGTACACGATGGAAGGCGTTTTCTCGGCTGCCTCTGACGGACTGATCATCGTTCTCCGCGAGGTTAACGGCGACCCATCGCCTCCTGTAACTTTATGATCAGTTTGATTCTCGAGATACCCGCATGCAACATGTATCCCCAGCCTGCCGACTTTTGGGTCGATCCCGTTGATGTATATTAGTGTCCAAATGCTGAATTGTTATACTTTTTCTCATGTACCTCGGGCGTTGCTGGCTTGTGTGGTGAAAGGCTAGATATGTCCAGCGCCTGGGCTCACTTAGTGTCCGTTCCCACAGAGCCAGCATTACGGAATGTGATGATATGACAATGGTGACGAAGCCCGCGCGAAGGAAACTGAAGAAGTTGAATGCCAATAAAAAGGTCCCGGGTCCGTTTAGGGGCTTCTGAGGAGTTTCTCCCGATTTGGAAAGTTTGCTTGCCATTTCAAGTCCGTTGATCCTCTCGATTGATGTGATAGCCATACGAGCTTTAGCAACCCGCTCAATGGAAATGACTATCATGCCCGGTGAAGAGATATGTATGGGGTATAGGTCGTAGTCCGGCAACGGGGCCAACTGTGACATGCTAAGGTGTAGAAGAATGAAACTCGTTCTTATGCAAAGCTGAAGCACACCCGCGCCCCAGGCCATGCTGACATCAAATCGATGAAAGATAAGTCGAAGGGATGGTTTTTGTCACTAGTACCGCCTTTTTGCCTTCAATCGGCGGGTTACCCACGATCGAGATCCTGTCCATTTGTTCAGGGTAGGCGATGCACCACCCTGAACATGCCACCATCTTGGAGGGATAATGGAGCTGCAGATGAAATTGGAATGTGCTCCGGACTTATTCAGGCTCGGTGCAATAATACACCCTTCACCGGTCACAGAAATCTCGGATCAAACATGCACGACTTGAGAAGTGGATCATCATTGTTTCTCGTTTCGATTCAACCCATATGCAAAGTACAAACCCGGTCATCTCGGCATTCAAATGGCCCTCTCAATGAAGCTCTGGATAGTGCCTTCCGCAGACAGAGGATACTCCTTGAGGACTGCTTTGCCGTTCTCAACAACTGTATTGGGCTGAACAAATATCTTGCGTGGCTATTCCGGGAAGAGATCAGCGTTCAATGGGTAAGGGCAATGCATGCATGCGACTTACTTGCTTCTTCTTGAGAACCATATCACGCACATCGCCTAGCCAGTTCTCAGGAGGATTCGTCAGCTTCTCGTAGAAAGCACGGGCACCCTCGCCATCAGCAATACTCTTCCGTATCTGTAGGTCGACAAGCACTTTGCCAAATACGTCCTTTCCGTTCTTCAGAACCGCCTGTCGGTCCACCTGAACAACATGGAAGTATCAGCTTTGGTTTATCTATCCTGTGGTATGACCTCACTCTGATGATAAGGTCTTCTAGAGTTCCGTCGGCGGAGCGGATTTCTTCCAGCCTTGCGATTCCGCCTTGAATCATGGAAAGCAACAACCCCATGCGAGCTTGCATGTGCGCCTGCAGATGCTTCTTCGCGGCAACGTCGTAGAACTCGAGTGCCCGAATGCCAGCACGAGCCATGATAAGATAGGAGATATATTGCAAATCCTCAATATCTTGCTCCTCTGTGTGGCCGAAGAGCTTTAGAATGTCGCGGTTGAAGACGAGGTACATCGCAGCGGCCTCCGCGCGACATTCTTCGAACGATGACGAACATGTGCCAAGAACTTGCCCGTACGTCTGGCCAGGCTTGTACCACGTATCAACCGGCTTGCCGGTGAGAGGGTTGATAGTCTTCTCCGGGTCAAAGTTCTTTGTGCCATCCTCGTTCTCCTTCATGAGTTTTCCAGAGCCATGGCCCAGGAGCTCATGGTTGGCCACTTGGACGTTGAAGGCCTCGTCTTCATACTTGGCGCAAAGGTCGAAGTCCTCCTTTGCCACGAAGGGACGCCGGTCATTGGGTGTTTTCGCAGCAAGGATGTTGGCCAGAGAGACATTTTTGAAACCCTGGGATTCTCGAACTTCATAATAATTCTTCAGTCGGAAAGTTGATCAGAATCTGAGCTTGCGTTACAGTGTAAGGAGCTTACGGGGATGTTGATGCCAGCAGGAATGCCACCAGTGGCAAAATTGAGCACTTCCAGCGCAGTGAAGTCTGGCTTCTTGAACACGTCCACCTCAAACGCCTTTCCCCAAGGCAAGCTGGGTAAGATGCTCGGTGCCATGGCAACCAGCTTCTCGTACTTTGCGCTCATATCCTTGTTGACGATGGCGGTGAAGCCCTCCCACTCCGCGCGGGCGCCGAACGGGTCAACATACGTCTCAATGAAGCCGATGTAGGACTCGACAACAGGGCCGACATCTTTCACCCACTCAATCGAGCCCTTACGATGCTCCTTCATGTCTCCGGTTTCCATCGAGGCTATATACCCGTCCAGCATGCCTTCCTGGTGGGCGTTTGCCGCATACTTCTTCGCCTCCTTCAGCGCCGCGGCCACCCGGCTCATCTCCCCGGAGAAGTCGCCGTACTGAACAGTGATGTTGAGCTTGGTGTTGCCCAGGTCGACGGTATGCGACTCGGTCTTCTTCTCCGCGCTTGCGATGAGAATGATATACTCGGACGAGGAGACTTTCTTAACACGGGTGTTGAGTGGGTCGACACTGAGCTTTTCGCACACCTTCTGTACTTCATCGACTTCCTCATCGGAGATTGTCTTTCCAAGATAGTAGTTGGAGATATGGCCAGCCTGTTTGGAATCGGGATCAAGCACGAAGAAGTGAAGTGGGCTGGGACACTCACAGATGGCTTCCCGATGAGCAACTCCGATTCGGGCTCCAGAGACCACATCCTTACCTTGAGCTGTACGACTACATCAGCGAGGTTGTGCCATACATGGCAATGAGACATACCTCATTCCAAAGGCTCGTGAGCTGCTCAGCATTCGGCGATGCTTTGAGGATCTTCCCGAACGTCTCGGAGGAAATGCGAGGGATGAACTTGGACCCGCCAAAGCTATTGAATTGTGCAGTTAAGCAGGAGAATTCTCACCCAAGTGAAGATGAAAAGCGCGCCTTTTATAGTTCACCAGGTTGCTAAGCACCTGGCTCACGTACTCAAGAAACATAGTCCAATCCGCGTCGCTCACTCCTGAAACCTCCTTCATCTTCACCAGATCTGTCATCTTCGCCTTATCGTTCGGGCTCGACATCGCAAGGACGATCAAGTTGTACAACTTCTCAGCATAAGGGGTCCATTGATTCATGATCACACGAGCGCCCTCCCATGATGCTGGATCGCGGCATCAGCAGATTGAGTGTGACAGTATGAGGTGGGACCTACCACGGCTGAGCCAGTGAGCGTACAGCTTCTCCTTCTCCGTGAGCAAGCCAAAGGATGGTCCTATGGACATGCCAGCGTAAGGAGGCGCTTGATCTGCCAAGAATCGGGCCGTGTTGACAGCCGCTGCAGTTGCCATTGTTGCTTTGTGCGGCACGAAGAGAAGTACGGGGATGGTTAGTGCCTTTACAGACGCTGATGTCCTGGCAGAGATGGAGGATGATATCAAGCCACTAAGGCGGCTATTTGTGCAGTACAGAGAGCGTGCTGTACTTGGGCGTGTGGCCAAGTGCACAGAGCGGGAGAGCATGCACAAGGTTCGCGTGTCGATTGAGAGCGTGTGACCTTCCCTGACGGGAATGTGGGGAAACTTCTGATTCCATCCAGTTACACCATCCATCCACTTCTATTCCATTGAACACGTTATTATACAAATATAGATTGCAACATCATGCATGAAATGTGATGCAAGCAATCATGATCTTGCCAGTGTATTATCCTCGCGCGCCTTCGGAGGCGTTCGATGTTGCCCACTGAACTGAGCCAACCCCGAATACCCAGTTATGACCCAGCTGCGGAGGGAGGGGGAAATTCTCTTTCCAGAGCTGCGACTACATCTGGGAAACGGCCAGCTTCGAACAACATGACTCTTCCGCCCATGTCAAGCCCAAATCCACCATCCTCTCGTGGAAGCGCATTGGTAAAAGCGTAGTCGAGTGCGTGCAGTGATAACTACTCCAAGATTCAGCATGACATTCAGAATGAGCATCTATCAAGCTCACTTGTGATATTAGGGTATCTTCTTCGTGATATGGGTATGTCATTGAAGCACCGGCTGCCGCGGCAGCAGACTTCTTCTTGGACATCTTTTTCGACTTCTTTGTTGGTGGTGCCGATTCCCCATCCATAGGGTCATCCTCATCATTAGGTGCACGATAAGTTCTTGATACGACCAAGAAGTGCGAGAATTGGAATGGCTGTCCCTGCCTCATGATGTCAAGGAGTGAAAGTAGCCGTCTGCGTACGTACGCACCCCTTCTTGTGCTGCCTGTACCTCTTGACCGAGCATCTTCCACATCGGCGGAATGATTTGAACAGGCATGTTGATCAACCGCTCGCTCAAGATTAGTCCGACGTCATGTTCCTTGTCCGCAGAGAACAGCGCTTGGAGGGTCTTTTCAAACGCTGGATCGGCAGATGTCTTCGATAACACATAGTCTCGAATCGCTCGTACTGCAGGGTTGTCCTGTACACCCAATTAGATGTTGTGACCACGAGTATAGAGAGGTGTCAAGCGTACCGCATGAACGCGCATGTTAACTACACTGAGTACTGCGAGCGGGTCGCTCTCCTCCCCATCCAACTTGACCGTGCTTCCAATATGCCCTTGGGATATGATGAGATCTGCTAGATCCCTCAGATGCAGCGGTTCTGCATCTGACTGGAAAAGCTGGATAAGTAGACGATGGAATGCTTGGTAATCGATCTCAGTCGGGGAGAAGAAGTCGAAGTCGAGCTGGATTGTGCTCTACCACATATATTAGCAACCAAGACCAATGCTGCATTGGGGAATAAGGCGTACCTCATCGGAGGAGTCTCCGGACTCTTCATCAGACATATGAGGTTCTTTTCTCTTAGACATCTTAAGAGAGCTTGACTTGTTATGGGACAATCGACGAGCACTCAAATTCCAGTCGTGAAATTCAGGCGCTTTTCAGCAGAAAGTTTCCGGTCTTCGCGAAGCTGGTGTCCCTGAAGGTGCACATAACCACGCGGCTCTTGCCGTGACGCACACGATCACCTTCAAAGTAGAAAAGGTTATTCGAAGTCATGGGTTGTGAGTACTTTGTATTTGACATATCCCGGATCTCAAGGACGATGTGCTTTTTGTAGTAACGTTCTCCTCTCTTTGGGCGCGTCTCTTTGGTGCTGCCGAGCTGAAGATCCTCATCCTTGGGCTGGACAATGCTGGGAAGACGACAATCCTGGTGCGCCATTTGAAGGGTATCTTCTGATGATTTGTACTAATGAATATTGAAGTATCGCGTCACTGTACGCTATTTCGTTTCGAAAATGGGCCAATGTTTAAACTTCGGTAGATGGGTCAAGCCATCGAGACTGCACCAACAGTAGGGTCGAATACCGAGATATTCGAGTATAAGAACCTCAAGTTTGCTTTATGGGATATGTGAGCTCCTCTCATCTATAGAAGAGCCCTGTATCTCATATCGGAGGTCAGAGGCGGCCAATCTTCCATCCGTAGCCAATGGGCCCAGTACTTCATTGCTACCAAGGCGGTTATCCTTGTGGTGGACTCGACTGACCCGGCGCGATTGCACGTCAGTCGGGAAGAGCTGCATCGGATATGCGCAGATGAGGTAAGCGTTGTCGAAACGTAGACGCAGTCAAAGTGTTGATCTAGTCAAAAGACACTACGCGACGCGCTCCTGCTTGTGTTCGCCAACAAGCAGGATGTGCCTGGTGCAATGACTGCTGCGAGGGTGAGCGACGGGCTAGCGTTGACAGAGCTAAGGGATCGACAATGGCAAATTGTACGCATCTTATCTGAGTTAGATATTCAGAGATCTGTATGCTAATATTACATCGACAGGTACCGTGTTCTGCCATAACCGGACAAGGGTAAATCCAACCAGATATCAGATGCCTTGATGCTGAAAGATAATAGGTTGTTCGAAGGCTTTGACTGGCTTGTCACCCGACTAGAAAAGCGGTAGGCGTCCTGGGCGCACGTCAGACTCTTCACAATGGACTATCCATGTCTTCACGAGATACCCCATGACTTGATTGTATCCATACAGATTAACTTGACTTGTACGTCGCTATATGCTCGTAGCTAATTCTTGGGGCACCTCGACGAGTATCAGGAGGCTTTCCAGCTGTGATTTGACCTCTTCTTGTAGTGATCCTGTGATCAATGTGAGCGTACGCGCAGGGTTGTTGCAGTAGGATGCGTACGAGCTTCAGCCAGCACGGTCACATACTCGTCATTGACCTCTTTCGTCTCCTTCTGTAGTTGTCGGAATCGTTCCAGCTGAAGAAGGATGAGCAATCGCTATACCAATAACAAGAGAAAATAGCGATTTACTTGTTCATCTTCGTCGGCTTCTGTTGGAAGCGAGTCTATCAGCTCTGACAGCCTCTTCGTCTGCTCAATCAGGTCATGCACTAGCTCTTTCTTGTTCGCTACGAGACCCGTAACAATCAGAGTCATATGCATCCACTGCCCAAGGGCGATGCGCACCTTCGAACTCCTCCTTCGTGTCAGCTCGATCATACTTTTGTGTGACAGGCACATCAGGTCGGAAGGGCAAGAAGTCGGTCCTCTCAGTGAGGTAGTGTATCGAATGTTGCATTATTGTGAACAACTACTGATACAGTAAGCCATCCGCATGTCGGCACAATGTAGAACCTACACGATCGAGCGCATCGTGTACTTGAGTTATTCGGTCCATTGTAAGTGGTGGAATGGTCAACAGACATCCAAGGGACCGTTAATGCCAAGCTAGACTCTCAGAGCCGAGCGTCATTTGTCCGACTCTTTCTGGCCGCGGTGACCTTGGCCGTTCTGTTTTCTAGTCAACGACTTCTGGGCTTCTTATCCTATTGCCCTTCTCAGGCTCAAATCTTCTGTGAAGTCATCGCTATACATGGCTCATCAACCTTTTGTGAAGCCGCGTATTCGCCGTATTCGCCGACGCTACGCATGACTCCATCTACGCGGCTGTGGATGAAGCTCCCCGATATGCGGATACGCCTAGGGATAATCGCTGGACTTGCTTCGTCGGCGAAGACCGCCCGACATCATTCTATGCAACGAAAGGCCGCTTTTCCATATCTGGATGTACGCAAACGGGCCGCAGGCAATGCCAGCGTTGTCCGGAACGTATCCGAAGGACATATTTGACCTTTGCCAGGTCAGGCACGAACAGCGTCAGATCTGCTGAAACTGCGCCCCGTGCACAGGGCTACAATGAGGCCAGCAAGGCGAACGAGGGCATTAAGCTCCCCGGCAAGCATCTGATGATGAACATTTTCTATCGTGGTACCGCTCGGATGGGTCGACCGCTCGTTTCAACTCTACTCCGCCGGCGGCTTTACCTTGTACACTCATTATCGCCGTCAGCAGGATGACATGAACAAACACCTCTGTCCGCGGAGTGGATCTGATTAGTAGCTAAGCATGTCAGCCGCATGCGTTGCATGGATACGCGTGCTGAACAATGTTGTTCCGCGCAAAAGTGCGCGGGCTTCACCTTTCCGTCGCGCTTTGGTCGTGGTCGGTAATCTTGGCCGAAATATAAAATCGTCCACCTCTTTTCAGAGACGTGCAGTTTGGCCTTCAACCATGTCTCACTCTTCCTCCCCAGTCACGATGTTCAAGGCGATGATCCGACGTATGTCTACAAAAGCGGGTATCTCGGAGAAAGAATGGTTCGAGAAGCGACCGAATATGGAGCGTAACCAGCCCTCGCGGACGCGTATCATTATCCAGAGCAACGCGAAGACTCTTCCCTACGGCGAGATAGTCGATATCTTTTACGCCGCACCTTTCGCTCCGAACCGAGCTGTGGCTCAGACACCAGTAGCGCCCGCACAGCCCTCACAGACCTTCTTGCAGGCGGTTGAGACCCGCAGATCGCACTACAGCATTGCCAATTCCTCTCCTATATCTGACATCCGTATCGTTCAAGTCGTCCAACACGCCGTCACCCACGTCCCCAGCTCTTGGAATTCCCAGTCTTCACGTACAATCGTTCTGTTCGGGAATGAACACGCATGGCTCTGGGATACTGTCATCAGTGCTCTCAAGAGGATTACCAGTGGATCCAAGTTCGAAGCTGCGTCTGGGAAAGTCACAGCAAGCATGAAGGCCGGCCACGGTACCGTACTCTTCCTCGAGGATGACGAGGTCATTCGGGACCTCCAACAGCGGTTCCCAACTTACAAGGACGACTTTTCTACTTGGAGCGAACAGACGAGTGGGATGGTGCAGTTCATTACCTGGGTCGCGCTGGAAGAGGAGGGTCTGGGCGCGAATCTGCAGGTACGTTGCGCAAGAGATACGTTATCTCGCGATCTGACACATGGCTGTAGCACTATAACAAGCTCATAGACGCTGAAGTTAGGGATCACTTCAAGATTCCAAATTCCTGGAGACTCGTGGCGCAGATGCCCTTCGGCGAGCCGACCGCAGAGCCTGGAGAAAAGGCGTTTCAGCCTATAGAGCCTAGGGTGAAGGTGTATGGGATATAAGATGATGATATCCGTGTATAGACATAGATTTACTGTACTCTTGCATATGCTTGTGCAGAACTGCACACCGCCAGTATTCTATGTGCCGGAGCCGAGGGCGGAAAACGGAAGCGGGCGAGCGGAACAGCAGGTGACGGCGGAAACCTTGCCTCGTGATGACGTTGAAGAGGCCGGAACCAACCGCGGTGTCCATAGAGCTGTCTCGCCTGCTGTTGCCTCCTGTCCGCCAACTTCTTTGCAAGCGGATCCTCCGGCTGTTCTCGGGCCTTCAACATCGTTATTAACAACTAGTATCGCCCCTTTGTTCTCGACAATCACCCTCGCATATTCACGACTCTCTGCGTTGTATATTATTCTCAGAGACCATCTGTCAAAGATGCGCCTCCTCAGTCCCCTGGTGCTCTTCGTCGCTGGGACCCTCGCGTCGCCTGTATGGCGCGTGCATACGACCTCACAACCATCAACAACACTCGACTGGATCACAAAGTGGTTTTCTGGAGAGACTGCCGCGAGACAAGGAGATGACCCCAACGCAAATTGGCTCTGGGGTTGGGGTTGGACATGGAGCGAGAGTGTCATCACGGTCATGGTATATTCCCCTATTTGTGCCTTGTGTGCAGGGGTATTGACTTGAGCCAGCAGGACAACTCGACAACAACCTTCTCCTCCCGACCTGCTGCATTCGGTCTGCGGATCGTGAATGCACCTGGTCTGTCCGGTCACCTCATCCCAACTTCCCAGCTCCTTCCTCACTGCCCAACTGCCGCCTACTCCTGCCCGAAAATTTGCCCACACTACCCATTCCCTCGGCTGGAGAACGAAGGTTGGATCGCGCTCGTTCAGCGAGGTGAATGCTCCTTCGTCGAGAAGGTGCGCGAAGCCCAGCGGCTGGGCGCAGTCGGCGTCGTCGTAGGAGGGCGAGAGAAGGGTAGAGATGATGACCTCATCACCATGTACTCGCCTGGTGATGCAACCGACATCGGCATCCCGAGCTGCTATGTTACGTACGAGAGCTATAGGGGCTTGATGAACCTCTGGGAGAAGAGCAATGATACCACACCAAGCGGATATAAGGCGCTTGATCTCTTGCTGGGAGAGGACGAGGCTTGGCAATGGTGCGCAGTGCAATTTCAAGTTTTAGTCGTATATGCTAATGGCTGTCCTCGCTGAATAGGCCCGTCTTCACATTCTCCCTTCTCCTACTCCTCCCTTCCATCCTCACCCTTCTCACCCTTGTCGTCCATCGCATCCGCCAGCAGCGCGCCGAAGTCCGGGAACGCGCTCCGGAAGACATAGTTTCCAACCTTCCTACTCGAGTCTGGAACGGTACCCACTGGGACAAGGACGAAACCAGCCATGACATCGAGACTGGCGAAGCGACACCCACCGTAGAGATTGGAAAGCACAAGATGCACTGGGCGTGGTTTGAGACCCAAGTCGAGTGCGCGATCTGCTTGAGCGCGTTTGAGCGCGGCGACCGTGTGCGCGTATTGCCGTGTGGTCATGTTTTCCATATTGAAGAGATCGACGGTTGGCTAGTAAAACAGAAGAAGCTGGTGCGTACATGGCATCCCGTTGTGCAATTTCTGGTCATAACTCTTCCTAGTGCCCGATTTGCAAGACTGATGTCACCCAACCACCTGTCACCCCACCCACATCCCCAAGCATCCGTGCTTTCCCCCGTGCTGTCCATCGTACCGATACCCCCACGGAGCACACACCCCTGCTCGCCGTCCCTGTGTCCCGTGGTCCACCTGCAGCACCGTTCGCTGCCCTTCCCCCTATCCTCCCTGCACCTCTACCTCCAGCCGCGGTCTCACAATCCTCTTCCCCTTCCCCTAACCTTACTCGTGCCACCGCAAGCGAACCGACGACATCCGCTCAGCCTGACACATCTGGGACATAGACAGCTTCTGTACACCCCGACCACCCTAATGATCAGCCATGATGTATAATGTAATGACTCGTTTGGATAGTGTATCATATAGGAATGAGGACACCCCAGTTTGCCTTTTCCACATCGGTGTGTCCAGCTGGCTCCTATCTGATAATGCTATCACTTAAACAGGAGTGCATGCTATTACCGTGCATGTCATGTGCACCTCTACCACTCCGGAGGCCGACGCTAAAATTAACCCTAAGTGTGGTTACCTCTGCTCTTTGGAATCCTTCTATCCAAGTCGATGTATACCCCCTGAATCAAGCAGTTCTCCTAGCGCACAATCCTGGCTCTTGTCCCAAAATCATCTGACCACCGTTCCCGGCATCGAACGGCACTGATATTGGTAGAGCCACCCCCATATGCATACAACACCCGTTCTTGGCACGAACCTTAGTGGGCTCGCACAGCTCCCGAGCCCCAACCCCTGACCACACACCTGGCAGAGAACACGCCGATCCCATCCTCTCCCAGCGACGCTCAAAGCACCCGAAAAACGCTTGGCATCATACACATGCGCCTCCCATTTTCCTAAATCAGGAAAGGCGCGAAATGCGGAATGCCGCTAGCGTGGAAAGGTGAGATCATCCGCCAGAAGAGGGACGTCATCCCCTTGAGCTCGAGCCGTGGGTCACCCACTTGGGCTGGGTCTGGCAGCCAAGCCCTGGGTATAGGACCATACTTGGGAGGTATATAATCCTCGCCCTGCTGAAACGGACTACCTCCCGACCCCTTCACCTTCGCCCACCCAGGTAAAAGCTACAATGGACGATCTCGGAAACGCCCTCCTTAAGAAGCACCATGATGCGCACGTCGCGTACTGGTCCAACGTCGGCGGCGAGGGGTACGACGTGAACCGTTTTGACGAGGGTATGTCCTAACCTCCTCCCATTACCACCCACCCCACATCACGCCAATCACGGCTGGTCCAGCATATATGCGCGTGTTCGAGTCTGGTGCTGATCTCTGATCATAGGATTCCGCGCTGGGTGGCAAGACGCTTGCCAGGGCGCGACAGACGACAGCAAGATGGAAGAGCGCAAGCAGCAGCATATCGCTGGCTGGGGCCCGTCGGACCATATCTGGGAATACGAGCACGGCTACAAGGAGGCTATCACGTACGATTTGGTTGCTAGGGTTTGAACTGCCGCTGACTATGTACAGGGCCAAGAACACTGGCGAGCAGCCTTGAGCGAGAGCGGGATGGTCGACTGCTGTTCAGTAGGATGTGTGTTTGCGAGACTGTAACCAGATTAACAACGAATTGCAATGTGTTCTAGTTCCTGTCATGTCATGTCCATGATCGCCGGTTGTGTCGTCGGACAGAAAGCACGCATATATGCGCTGAGAAACTGCATATCTGCGTTTTGCTGCAAGTGGTGTACAATACAAGTCACTCAAATCATGCTGCCGCCCGTAACCTCGAGCGTATGCCCGCTCACGTAGCTCGCCAGCGGCGAACAAAGGAAGAGCATCGCCCTCGCCGCCTCATCCGCCGTGCCAGCCCTGCCGAGCGGGATGCCCTGGACCATGGGGTTGACCTTTGCGTGGGCGGCTTTGTCAGCGTTCGGGATGCCCAGAGCGATCTTCTGCCCGCCGATCTCCATCGTCGCGCCTGCACCTTTGTCAGCCGTGAGGCGGGTCTGGATGTACCCGTAGGCGACGGTGTTTGCGCGCACGCCGAACGGACCCCACTCTTTTGCGATCGTCTTGGTTAGACCGGTGACTGCTGCTTTGGCCTACAAAGCAAATGAGTATGCTCAGCCTGAATGAAGATACGAGTACTCACAGCAGAATAGTTTGCCTGCCCGACATTCCCGTGCAACCCGGCTACACTACCAACATTGACGATACTCCTATTGGGCACCTTTGCCGCCTGCTCGCCCTTCAACCTCAAGTACGGCGCCGCGGCCCTCACAAGGCGGAACGGCGCGCGAACATGGATCCGCTGGATGATGTCAAACGCGTCATCCGCCATCGTATGCAGCATCTTGTCAAACGTGAACCCGGCGTTGTTGATGATATGGTTCACCTGCCCAAAGGCGGAGATCGTAGCGCTGATGATCTTCTCGGGGAAGTCGTCTGCGCCAACATCACCACCCACGGCGATGGCTTCGCCCCCCGCGGCCTTGATCTCGTCTACGACGAGCTGGGCTTTCTTCTCGTCGAGACTGGGACCTTATTCAGGAAGTGACTACTGCAGGGACCCTAATGCGTACTCGGATACGACGACCTTGGCACCCTCGGCGGCAAATAAGAGCGCCGCGGACCGTCCAATACCCTAAATATCATACATGAGCACCGATCCCTCCAATCGTCCAATCTAGTTGCGAACCTGAGCAGCACCTGTGTGTACAGTCAGCTAAAGACCTGGATAGGCACCGCTAACGCGCACCAGTGATGATCGCCACTTCGCCTGCGAGCAGACCGCCGCCCGCACTCGCACTCAGATGTCCCTGCACCTGCTGCAATCTTGCACTAGCCATTTCGATATTATAGTAAGAGTGAGGGTGGTGAGAGAGACGAGTGAAGGAAGAGAGAGCTTGGGTGATCTTGGTGATCGTGCCCGCTGGAGGCGGGTGATCTCGAGATGCAAGGGAATTAATGGCCGGGTAATGTGATCAGGCTGTCACAGAAGTAGCCGACCTCATCGCCGATCAGCTCGGTGTCGGAGCCGAGGGGATAATCCGATCTTTAGCTCGTCGTCCTCGACGTCCCAGGGCGCGTCGACGGCCACCACGCTGAGCAGGACGTCCTCGTGCCTCTTAGCCGACGTGCATGATGTTCCTCACATACAGTGAGCAGCATGTGGAATACCTCTCCGAAGCTCTGTGGCTTGAAAGGGGAAGATGATCCGACCCCGCGGCTCTTACAACCCGGATCTGGACATGCGACCCGCTCAGCCCTTATCGGCACTCTCTGGGCTGACGTTGTCCTCGACACCCTGCTCATCTTCTGTCTGGTTAACTCTCTGCTAGAGGACTGCGAACGATACGAACTCTCTCTGGGCTGTGGATTGTATTCCTCTGAACTTGGTTGCACGGTGCATGCTGTAGAATGTCTTTCTTGCTCAGGCGTGCGACGCGCCTTCCGATCGGATCGTCCTCTCGTCTACTTACGCGCCACGCCTCGACCTCCCGTCCCTCCGGCCGGAGTGGACACGTCTTCCGACCGTTCGCTGCTGTCGGGCTCCTCTCCGCAGCCGGTCTGGCCGTTCTCGGCGCTACCGCCCCCTCGCGGGAGCCCGAGTCCGCCCCGCCCTCGGGGCCTAGTACGGACCCCAATCCCCTCACGTCGACCTCCATCGCCAGAGTACCTTTCGGCCAGTTGGTACGCAGCTACTTCGTATACACCACACTCACTTTCCCGTTCGTGGTCGACTATGCACCTGGATTTCTCGAGTTCCTTATCAAGATACCCGTCGTGCGCAGTATAACGCTGTTCGGCGTCCGGCGCACCTTCTTCGCTCAGGTGCGTGTCGTGCCCCCTCTATATCTACTAAATCTAATATGGATGCCCCAGTTTGTAGGCGGTGAGACAGCCGAGGAGCTCCTACCCCTCATGAGCGACCTGCGCCTCCAGAACAAGGCCAGCATCCTCACGTACAACGTCGAGGTTGACGAAGCGCCTGGGGCGGAAGCCCAATGGAAACGGAATATCGAAGAGACCAAGAGGAGCATCGAGGTGATGGGGCAGTATGCAGCGGGTGAAGGCGGGATTGTCGCTATCAAATTGGTACGTGCCTCCCGTATGGTCCCAGGTATCGTATACTGAGTATTTGCAGACCGCGCTCGTACCCCATGCGAGCGCGTTGGAGAACATCTCTCAGTACCTGCTTGCGAACCGCAAGTCCTCCACCGTACAGTATCCCGGCACTCCCGAGCAGCTCGATGTCGCCGTGCTCCAGGGTACGGCGAAGGGTCTCCCTCCTCCGCCAGCAGCGGACATCGCCGAGATCCGGGAGATGTACGCTGGTGCGCGAGAGATCGCACGTACGGCAAAGGAGTACGACATCAAGCTGCTTGTCGATGCCGAGCACACGTGGTTCCAGCCCGTGGTGGACGCGATCACGCTCGCCCTGAGCCAGGAATTCAACACTCGTCCAACACACGGATCGTTCTTCGGCCCATCCCCGCCCAGGGCAGTGGTATATGGCACATATCAGAGCTACCTGCGTCGGAATCCGGAGCACGTGTGCGCACAGCTGGACCTGGCCAAAGCAGGCGGCTACGCACTCGGTGTCAAGCTCGTCCGCGGAGCGTATCATGGGCAAGAACTCGCGCATGCTAAGGAACGGGGAATGCCTGCACCCGTGTGGGCCGAGAAGCCCCAGACGGACGAATGCTACAACAGTGTAGCACGCGTTGTGCTTAGGGACATCGCTGCGAACAAGGGGAGGAGCGGTACCGCGGTCGTGTTTGGCACCCATAACCGGGAGAGCGTGGAGACTGTCCTAGATGGACTGACAAAGGAGGGACTAGTGATCGAGGAGCAAGGGGGCAGGTTGCGCATGAAGCCAGAGGCCGAGGGACGCGTCGCCGTCGCCCAGTTGTACGGTGCGTCATTTTCCCGATGTTCTGTAGTGCTCCCGCTGTGTGCGGGACCGAGGCGACAAATAGTCCGTACGTGAAGCGACGAGTCTGACGCGATACAGGCATGCACGATAATTTGACCGACTATGTCGCCGAGCGACTCGTTGCCAGCAAGCCCGTGGCGACGAAGTGTATTCCCTATGGGATCATTGACGAGGTCAGTTGTCTTGACGGACCATTCCTCTTCCTCCCTTCGATCCGGAGACTTATGGATGAGAACAGGTCATGCCCTACCTTGGTCGGAGGGCGATAGAGAACAAGTCCGTCCTCGGTGGCACTGGGGGCGCTTCAGAGGAACGTAGACGGATGGGAGCTGAGCTCTGGCGCAGGATCAAGCGGAATGTGGCTCTTTGATCTTCAGAGTTATGCGGTTTCTGTAAGAGGGTTGGGGTCAATGCAAATAGTTCGTTTTTGCTTTCTTTTCTATTTCGAGCCAATAACTGAATTTGGGAAGGATAATGCTAGAAAGTTCGTGGACGTTGTTAGGACTGAACATCAATGCGTTCTTCTATGTCTCGTGATCTTGTTATTGGGCTTGATTAGGAACCGACTGTCTTTTCTGTGGAAGATCCTGATTCATCCCCTGCAGAGCTAGGATCGTGTTGGTTCCCGATTCAATCCTGAATGACGACATCTTATCATCACGAAGACACACGAATAACTTGCTCCCCCGGACGGTTATATCTTCGGCGCTGCCGGCATTGATCAATTGGTTCATAACCGCGTGGGGCGATTATATTGGAACGCGAACCTGGAAATACTGGTTTTGGCAGTTTGATACTCCAAGACGACCAAGTTTCTATGCTCTTCTTTGGTCGTCTAGCTGATGCTTACTTCCTCGGGAAATTCGCTTTTACATCTCCGCGGTACCGTCAATCCTTCTGTTACCTCTAGCTAGGAAGAAACAAAAAGGCTGCTACTTTACCGCATCGGGCTGGAAGCACACTGGAATTGAGGCGGCCAACCTTAGGGTAGATTCCAATTTTCAGGACGTGGTCACGGTAAGCATGAGGGCCACCACCGACGAGTCAAATCTCGGGCCCGAGGTACAAATAAGCATCAAGACGCTCAGTCATGTCCACAATACAGGGAACAATATGCATGCTTGTGTCTGGCTCTGCATATCAATAATCTCGTCCAGTTTTGGCCGTGGCTGTCTCAACCGGACCCATTGTCACCCTCGACTTCAGGACATTCAGAGGATCTACAATACCGCGACCGGTACCGATTCTTTTCTTGGTCTTCCGTTCGTAGCCCCGCCGGTCGGCGCCAATCGACTGTTCCTCCCCCAACCGATCAATGTTCAGTTTGGGTCCACAATCCAAGACGCGACCGTTGCTCCGAGGGACTGTCCCCAGCAGAATGCTGTGAATGTTACTTTACCGCCCCAACTGGCTAACTATAGCAGCATCATTGTTGTCCAGCACTCCGGTGCCGGGGTCTGAAGACTCTTTGTGAGCATATATTCCTTGCATACATGGCATCAGCTGTTGTGGCGCTGATGCCCGATGCAGGTACTTGAACATCTACCGAACTAGCACGGCGACACCATCGTCTAAACTTCCGGTGATCTATTTCATTCTCGGTGTACGCGATATTCTTACACTGTTCGAACATACTCCGATGTTAAGGTAGAGTGGATTTTCAATTGGCGGTGCCTCTGTGTTCAACGGCACCAACATTGTCAGCCAATCTATTGCCATGGGCCAAGACCTCATCATGGTCATTGGAAAGCATGCGTTGGATGATTCCCAGTATAACAATACCTCATCTGAGTCCTGGCTATCGACTATCGGCATGGGGATGGCTTCCGGGGCAAGAGGCACAAGACGCAGGAATCCCCAACCTCGGACTGCTGGATCAAGTGAGAGATCGCACGCTTGCGCGACATACCGTTTGAACAGCTCTACAATGCTGTATAGAACTCCCCAAACTCTGCGATGGCTTATCGGGGCCCAGCATCCGCGTATCTGCCGAGGATCGATTACAACACACTTGTTGACTTCCCTCAGAATTTATGTGAGTGAACCGCCCCTGCCGACAACCCTAACCAGGTTCTTACCCCTGCGTCAGTCAATGAGGGGCGTTTCGCAATGGTCCCCTATCCTAGTAAGGGGGAATGAAGACGAGGGGAGTATATGGTGCTTCACATCGCTCAATGTAACAATCGACGCAGATTTCGCGACCCATGTGCAATGTTAGTGTTCTCGTCTTATCGAGCTTTGGTTCGAACTGACATCAAATTAGCGTTCTGGCCCTGGATGACAAGTTTAAGTACAAGATCCTCTTCTACGTGCCCACAGCCGTTGATGTTGCTGCAGTTCAGAGTCAAGTTGTGCAGCAGTATCCCGCAAATTTCTCAGACGGTTGCCCCTATGGGAGCGGCGACCGTATTCTCAACGAAGCACAACTTCTATACCTGACCTCATGATGTCATAGTCTATTCATACACCCCTGAAAGCAAACGTGCCCGGTCCTCCCTGCGCTCAACACCTTTTGGTCACGCTCCTGATGACTAAACAGATTGCTTCTCTCCTCGAGGATGCCATTTTCATTGCCCTCCACGTCGTTGTCTAGACACAGGCATGTTGGGACAGGCACCCCGGCGTTTCGTGTCCCAGACATATGCCCGCAACAATCTTCCAGTCTGGTCGTACCACTTCTCGCACGTCTCTGAGACTCCTTTCCTTGGATCATACCACGGTTCAGAAGTTCCATACGTATTCGGCGAGACAGCTGACCCTCTTTCTACCCAGATGATGCCCTTGTGGATCTCTTTTGCAAACGGCTTGGACCCTAATGATCATGGCCATTTCGAAGCAGGTGCCGAGTTGCCATATTGGTCACAGTACGGCGCAGTCGGAAATTTGATGGAGTTTAGAATCACGAACAAACCTCTTGTGATGGATGACTTCGCACAGAGGCAGTAAGTTGTAGGATCTCTTCCTGAAGTGGCATCAACTTACGGCTCCAAGATGAATGTGATGATCGAGAACATGAATACCTTCATCATCTGAAGCATTGTGATCCTCATCTCTGCTTGTCTCCTATTGTTTCTCTTGCCTCTTCTCGCCTCCTGTCGTCTCCTCTTGTTTCGTCTTGTCCCCTCTTGTCCCCTTTGCGCTGGCAGGCCGTCCTACGTCATCACGCACCCCGAGTCCATATTTTGATCATGTGATCAGGGGGTTATTTTTATTCAGTCATTTTTCACATGTTACCTGGAATCGTACAGATCAGAGAACACGCGCGGAACGCTTGCGACCATCACATCTCTGTCAATTGGGCTCTATCTAAGCTCACCCGTCATGTCGACTCGCAAGGCCTTGCTTGTGTATCCTCGGACTCTGGATAGACGGAGTAAGATCACGGCTGGCCAGTACCAGTGTGAATATTCAAGGGGTTGCAAGCACATGCCGGCATTCGGGACTTCCGAGGGTTCGGTCACGCCATCAAGATGGTGCTTGGTTTTCCCCTCATCTGCCTGGCCCCTACCTCCTCGTTGCACAGGGCGTTCACGAGCAATGAAGGCAGGATGCAAGTTACTGAGAATACATAAACCAACCATGATGAAATGAGTGAATGCTCGAAAGGAGGGCCCTCAGCATGTCGTCTTCTCTTTTGGCGCTTGGGCTTGGTGCTCTTGGCGTATTTGCTGCCCCACTTGGGCCTACTGTCACGTTAGATTTTGGCACGTTCAGAGGCATTTCAGATTTTCTGACCGGCACCGACACGTTTTATGGGCTGCCTTTCGCAGAACCGCCTACTGGACAACTCAGATTGCGTCCACCGCAATCATTCACCACCAATTATGGCACCACTATTCAGGATGCTTCAGTTCCCAAGTCGGATTGTCCACAGCAGGCAGTCAGCCTCGTCTCTTCTGAAGCTCTGGTTTATCTTCGTACATATGCTGGGCCGAATTTTACGGCGTATCTCTCTCTTACTGGAACAGGTTCAGAAGATTGTCTGTGCGTCCCCCCTCGTCGATGGACAGGACTACTTCTGATGTTGGCTCGCGCACTGACAGATACATGAATATTATTCGTCCTAGCACAGCTACTCCTGGGTCCAAGCTCCCTGTAATGTTCTGGATATTCGGGGTTAGTGATTTTGTTCCACTCTGAATCGCTGGAGTTGATCGGTGCATTATGTAGGGTGGCTTCGAACTGGGAGGCATATCTGAGTACGACGGGTCTCACCTTGTACAACAATCTATATCCATGCGTCAAGATGTCATCTGGGTTGCAGCAAAGTCAGTCTGATTCCTGCTATTAGCTTCTAAGTATACGTTGAAGGAACCAATAGCTATCGGGTGTCGGCATGGGGCTTCATGCCTGGACAAGAAGTTCAAGATGACGGCGCCGCCAACATTGGTCTCCGAGATCAGGTAGCGGATGACATTCTTCTGTTCCCCGATGCGTAAATAATGTGCACGTTAGCGAGCCGCTTTAGAATGGGTATAGCAATATATTGAATAATTCGGAGGCGATCCAGAGAGGGTAACCGTATGCATCTATAACATTGCATGCTTCGCAGATTACTGAAATAAGCATTAGCTATTTGGAGAATCTGCAGGCGCCATTTCGATCGCCTTCCAGCTTCTCATGTACGGCGGCCAAACGAACGGCACATTCAGGGCGGCAATCATGGAGAGCGGATCTTCGGTCCCAGGTGCGCTGCATCCAAGATTATTGTACGAGTTACTCATCTGGGGCAGTCGGTCCTTTATCTTACGGACAGTCCATCTTCGACCAGATTGTAGACTTCACGAACTGTTCGGCAGCTAGCGACAAGTTGGAATGTCTTCGGGGCTTGGACGAGAACACTTTCATGCAGGCAGTAGCCATTACCCCAAATGTGGAATCGGCATTCGTGAATTTACATCTCGCATATCTTCCGAGAACTGACTATGACACCATTCCCGACCTGCCACAAAATTTATGTGAGTTTTTCATTCAGATACCTACCACGAAGCGTTTCACATCTTATCAACAGTGCGTGCTGGGCGCTTTGCTAGACTCCCTGTAATCAGCGGAGATAATGAAGGTTCGCTAGGCGCAAACTGCGAAAAGGACTCATCTAATTGTACTGTCTCAAGATGAAGGGACCATCTTCCAGTTCACTTCTCTGAATGTCACCACTAACGACGAATTCGCATGTTATGCCAAAGGTACGGCTCTCAAGTGACTGTTTGACCCGAAAAGTGAGATATGTATCGTCTACAGAGATGTTCCCGCTTTTATCAAACTCAAGTAAGTCGTTCGTTAGTGCAACTACCCCCCGATTGTTGAACAAGCGACGTTCCTCAGCTCTGTCAATGCTTCTTGAGGCATACCCAGAGGATCCCGCTATAGGATCCCCTTATAACACCGGCGACTGTCAGTGCTTCATTCTAAGTCCATGCCAATAGTCTGAAGCTTCCGTATTCAGTGTATGCCCTGACACCACAGAATAAACGGGTACGAGCTCTGATATATTGCCCCTAATGGGAATAGTGACGGCTCAGCACTCGCTAGATTGCGTCTTTTCTCGGCGATACAACCTGGAATGTGAGCACGTAACAGTTGACGAGGGCCAACTCCGCTGAACGCCTAGACAGGCAGCTCGGCGTTTTTTCTCCCAGATCTACGTGAACGCGTCGGTTCCCATCTGGTCAGCCATATCTACCATGTGTACTTGTTCGCTCATTGACGATGCTTGATCCAGGTCTTATTTGTTCAGCCATACGAACACGATCCCTTTCTTGGGCGCTTTCCACGCATCGGAGATCCCGTTTGTTTATGGGGACATTCCCGATCTGACTTCGGTGCAAATGAGGGCTTCCTGGATCTCCTTCGCAAACACCCTCGACCCGAATAATATTGGCGAGTTTGGGATAGGCATTGATCTCCCGTATTGGCCCCAATACGGTACCGATGGCGTGCAAATGGAGTTTGGACCGCTAGCTTCTTGGTTGACATACGACACCTATCGGGAGAACTCCACGGAAGTGGCGAGTAGTAATATTGATGAATTTACGATCTAGATCTGGATCGAGATTATGTATACCCATTAGTACATTTGTTTTCTGTGTCCATATGAATTAAGCAACAACCGAATATATAAGCGAATGAGAGATGAAACGCAGGCACTCGCCGCTAGAGGCTATTAGTACGCTTATCTATCAGCGCCTGCCATTCTTGCGTCGAGAACGTGTGTCATAGACATCACGCTTCGAATTTGACCTGTTGCAGCGATGTTAGGCCAGCGAAAGCCGGGACTCTGGCAAGATACGCACAGCTTGTATATACTCAGCCTCCAACCACCGCCACAAATTTCTATAGCCAATTCATTAATTGTGCGATGAAATCCTTTGAACCAGGATACGCACCGCCAGAGTTACCGACGCACGGTGTGCTGCAGTCTGCACTGCTTGCCTGCGTAGCACCATTCTGGATAGAGTTGGCGCACCAACACTCGTTGCCGTCCTCCGTTCCCGCATAACTATAACCCGCATTTCCACAGAAGGACTGACATACTTCGGTCGTCATTGAGGACGAGGATTCGGCGTAATTCGGCAGGGCGCGATTGTTGGCATCAACATAGCAGCCTACGGACGACCAGCGAGGACCATTCGGCGGAATATACTGATAAATGTTGATCCGCCAGCCTCCACCACATTTTTCTACATTACAAGTTAGCACGCTCCCGAAATGAGATCGTACGACCCACCATTCGAGTTACCAGCACATTTGGTTGAACAATCCGATCGGCTCGCGAGCGTGGCACCGTTCTGGATAGAATTGGAGCACCAACATTCATTCCCCGCTTCTGTGCCTGCAAGCGCAAATCCGTTGCCCAGGCAGAAGTTGTTACATGATTCGATTGTCATGGAATTGGAAGACGTAGCATCGCTAGGCAAGGCACGATTATTCGCATCGACGTAGCAACCCACCGAGTGCCATCCTGCGGATGTTGGTGAAGATGTTGGGCTGGAAGTAGTACTCGTCGCAGTTGTAGGGGCGTTATACTGGTGTATGTTTATGCGCCAGCCTCCACCGCATTTTTCTGCGCTTGTGGTATCAGCCATCTTATCCAGGGAGTCAAGAAAAAGAACCTGCCGTTCGAGTTGCCTGAGCATGACGTCGAACAGTCCGACGCGCTAGCGGCCGTGGCACCATTCTGAATAGAGTTCGCGCACCAACACTCGTTTCCATTCTCAACGCCAGCAAGAGCAAAACCGTTGCTCAAGCAGAAGCTCTCGCAAGACTCCACAGTCATGGAACTTGATGACGTCGCGTCAGCAGGAAGAGCGCGACTATTGGCGTCGACGTAGCAGCCGAGGGATGACCAACCAGTCAAGGATGCAGTAGCAGAGCTGGTGGCGGTGGCGGTGGAAGTGGGAGTGGATGCTGTCGTCATGGTGTGTTGATAAATGTTAATCCTCCATCCGCCACCACATATTTCTGTCCTGGCATGAGCAAAATCAAGACCAATGAACCGAAGAAGCTTACCGTTTGCATTTCCTTGGCATTGAGTAGAACAGTCTGAGGAGCTCGCCGCGCTCGCTCCGTTCTGGATTGAGTTGGAACACCAGCACTCATTGCCGTCTTCGACACCCGCGAAGTTGAAACCGTTGCTAAGGCAATAGGACTGGCATATCGCCACGGTCATGGAGCTTGATGATGTCAGAGAGCTTGGAAGTGCACGATTGTTGGCATCCACATAGCAGCCCAGGGATTGCCACCCTTGTGCAGTGGCGCCCTTTGCATACAGGCTCAACGTCCAGCTACCACCGCAAGTTTCACTTGAAGCGCCCGAGCAGTGGGTATTGCAGTTTGAGCTGCTTGTCGTAGCGCCACCACTGCTGATGGTGTTGCCACAGTAGCACTCGTTCCCGTTCTCTGTCCCTGCCAAGGTGTATCCCATGCTATTGCACTGGTTCACACACCACTCGTTGATCAGAGCAGACTGGGTGGATTCATAGGAGGTGAGGGCGCGAACACTTGTAGAATGCTGTGTCGGCTCGGCGAGACACCCCGAGTATGTCCAGCCGGCCGGAAACGTCTGGGTTGGTGAGGCAGTAGACGTCGTTGGGGAGCTGTTCGCTGTTGAGGATGGCACCGTGTTCACAGTCGTCGCAGCACACGCAACTCGAGGCAGAACTTGAGGGGCTGTGGCAAAGATCAGCCCTACATCTATCAACCCGATCCCGCATGAACTCACGATCGTTGCTTGTCATTGAATGATAATGGTTTACGATCTCAGACGCCCTCGTGGTCATATCTAACGCAATGAGCTTCAGTTCATAAATAAGGAGCAGCTACGGCTTACCTGACGTGGTGCCCGGATAATACATTGTATATCCATCATTGTGGGTTACAAGGGTGCAGCAATCCGAGTCGTGACCAAACAAGCTCCAGAAGAAATCGCCAGTCCCATCGATATTCTGGACGGCGTTCATGAAACTGTTGATGTCGTCACCGCCAAACTGGCCCGTCCAGTCCCATTCGCCTGCGATGTACACCTTTCCAGCCTCGTTCATTGTATACGATGCGCCGGTCTGTAAGCGGGATACGGAAGCAGGATCTAGAGAAATAATCATTCCCTGATGACAGCGATAGAAGGTAGCAGGAACGCACAAAAATGATCGGTCAATGCATCCACATTGCTGTTGCTCAGCTGTCCAGAATTAGGGAAGATGCCGAATGTGCCGTCCATACAGAGATGGTTGGGTGCCAGGCTCTTGATCAGTGCGCAGATCTGTTGGGTCCAGGCGTTGGGCGGTGGCCCATCATCACGCTGGTATACGCTCAGCTCGTTACCTGTCTCCCAGATCATGATGGTCGGGTCATCCTTCAGGGCAATGCCGGTGTACTGGTTGACGTGGGTCAGATGATGTTGAATGTAGTCCATGAACAGCTGAATGCAGGTGGTGTCGTTGTAGAAGAAACCCCCCACGTCAGGAGGTGTGATGTCCGCGCCAGTGCCGGACCAGGTGTGACCCGCCCAGCCCACAAACTGATACTTGCCACCGTGATACCAGTTGTACTATGGCGTTTTCAGAACAAATGTTGACACTGACGCGGTAGAAGACTACTCACGTTATCGACAAGAGGGATGATCAGTTTCAGGCCGTAGACTCGCGCAGCCATGATGGCGAAATCGATTGCCTGGTATGCACCGTCGTTGTATGTGTTCGGGCCAGTGACTACACTGAGGGAGTTTCCGAAGCTGATGCCAAGTGTATGCGCGCGGATAGCATTCGCACCCATGGCACTCGCGATGCCCATCATCTCCCATACCCTAGTCTGCGAAGGGTAAGACAGATTGGGACTGATTGGAATTATTGAGTATGGACTTTCTGAGAAAACAAGAAATCACTTACACGACGTTCTCATCTAACCCGAGCCAGTAGATGTTGGGCCCGACAGGGCGGAACTCGAATCCGTCCAGGAAGAGCTTAGACCCAGAACGCGTGACGAAGTCATCTCTCTTGTGCATATGCTCTGAGGAGGGACCGGAAGGACCAGGGAATTGGTTCTCACTATACTAGTTGTCAGATTTTCCCCATGTTACAGGGGATAAAGTTGCGCGCACTTGGAGTTACAACTTGAGACCGAACTGGGGCTGTAAGTCGGCTGGTAGTAGTAAGGGAATGGTCCAGAGCCGGAGATCCACGCGTCTATTTGAGAGTCCGTCACGTAGCGCTTATTTAGGGTATTGGCGGTCCATAGTCTTTGGAGATCGAGTAGATGGGTCTGGTTGAAAGACCAGAAGGAGGCGAGGGTGCCGGGGAGCAGAACCAGAAGAGCGAGCAGGGGAAGGAGCGGAGTGTGCATTGTAAAGAGCGTCTAAAGGATAATAAAATAGTCCCAGATTGTTGGTGTGGTGTCCGTTTTAGACGATTGTAGATGTGCAAAGAATGTGCTTAGAGTATCATGTAGCCAAAAGAGAGGACAGCTCGGGGAGAGCACAAGACGAGGAGATCAAATCAATTGCAATTGGGAAAGAGACCCCCAGCGGTGAGCGCCTCCTAGCCCAAGACAAAAACAATACTCAGCGCCAGAGCGCCAGGGGGTATTCAGCGGTTCGATCATTACTAACCGATGCGATTGGTCAACTTTGTGTAGGGTTGGATATGGTTGGTGGGTGTATGTCATACTCAGTGGCTCGGAAAAATGGACAGGTGGCGGTGTTGGAATGTTCACTTTAGAAGCGTTATTTAAGGCATGATCGGATCCGGATATGAAGCTTACTTAAGGTCTAGAACACTCGGCGATTCTCCCCAGCTGCTTGCAAATATATACCCACCAATGATACAATTTAGTGAGCAACTATAGAATCCGAATATATTACACTTTGAGAACCACTTGCAAATGAAGAGAAATATTGTATACCGCCGTACAATTGACTGGGATATTAATGTTCGGTCCTGATATTCGATCCCACACTGCGAAAGTTAGTTCCCATACCATCGCCGCCCAATTGACTCTTCGCTAGCGCTAGCGCTATACATATCCCGACCATATCATTGTCTTCTCTGATGATAGACCCCAATCTCTTATATTGACATTGCCGGCTACTACACGCCGCGTGTAGGTAGTTGTCTATAGAAACATGCGGTGTCATTAATCTTTCCCGCCAAACTGGATGATCTCCTAACCTCATGGCAAGGGGTACTGAACCTCGACCCTATGTTTCTATCAATATTAATCGCGGTCGCCGCTTTTAGTAGTCGAGCTGTGAACAACAGGCCATGCTTCTTGGAGATTGCTGTGTCCCGTTTGAGTCGGACATCCTGTATACTCACCACCAATTCTGAACTGACCCGAGTATCACGGAGCGGCTGTCAGTATTGTTATGAACCTCTCAGACGTTCCATAAGAGAAATTGATGGTGCCACGTTAACCCTGAATCTCCTAGGTTTCGGCACATCACAAGTCTTCGCTTCTCCAATCCATGTCGACAGCCTCACCAAACACGGAGCATCAGTGAGCCAGCCTTCAGAATACTCCAACAATAGCTTTCAACCTGGGACCCCAGATTTCAGTGGAAGCAACAATGCTAAGGATGTCACGATGTGCAGTGCAAGCAGACCATTATTTCGCAACACAATAACGTGCCCACAAAACGGTGCAGAAGTGAGCCGGTCAAAAGCCCATTAGTCGACAAGCTGTATTGAACACGTGCCGGAACAGGCTCGACAACACTAGTCTTGAAGTCACGAAAAGGAGCCGTTATCTCACCACGTCACTCAGAAAATCAGGATCTGAACCATGCTAGGCATTCCGTTCATAGCCGCATAGTGCATACAGACAAGCTCGGCATGATCGACATGAAAGAAAAGCGCCAGCCCAATCGTCTACTCCGCATCCACAACAACGGTTTGAAGACCCTGCATTAACGTTAAAGACACTAATAGGACCACATAGATGGGGAGACGTACCTTGAACTCGTGCACTGGGATGTCAATAGCCGTGGCATAGGTGTACAGCTTCTCCTTCGCGTCCTCCTCGTCATTGCGCTTCCCTATGCGAACATTCAGCACATGCCACCACTATTAGGGCTAAAGACACGCACTCTCCAGCCTGACCCGTATCCGATGTGGGACGTTCTTGATCCCCTGCCTCCAAATAGCTTGGTTGAGCTTAGGATCCAAACGCACGTCCTGGGTACCCATCGCCTTCTGTGCGAAATCAACAACGGACTTCACAGCCCAGGGAGCGCGCTTCTTGAACGACCGGCCGTGGACGAGCTTGTGTAGGTGAATCGTATATTCGCGTGTGACGACGTCCTTGAGCGCAGAACGGGTCTTGCCCTTGCCCTTTATACCATTCTGTCAGAACCCACTCTCCTGCACACGATCCATAACATGTTCACCTTCTTCTCAGTCTTGGGTGCCTGGTTATTTCATCAATACTCAGATCTCCTTTCCGAGCGTGAACACTCACCATTGTGGGATATACGGCTTTTGGAGCTGAACGACGAGCAGCGGTGCAATGGTCTGCACCCCATGAGCACGGGACCAAATTATTGGAAGAGACAAAAACTGTACAGTACCAGGGGGTAAACTTTAGGGTACCCCTCGGAAGCAATCCTATTCTGAACGGTCCGTGCGCGAGATCATTTGACGCAATCCGAGGGGCATACTATTCACTAATGAGGAACTTCTGATTATGATAGTTTCCCCATGCCAAGATTATCATGTCTTCATTCAACGGCTACTTATCGTTACACGACACAACCTAATCAATGCAGCGATAATTCAAACAGAGTAGTGCTTGGGAAACCCTTTCCCACAATATAAATTTCAGTTTGTCAAGGACATCACATGCTATAGGGAGTACAGAGCGGCTTGAGAAGGCAACGAAGGAGAAAGCAGAAATAGAACGGTTACAAAACAATGCAATATGTGCTGATAAATCAGCCCTCAACAGGCTGCAGAACGGACGACACCGGGTATCGTGGCCCGAAGGACCTGGAGATCTATCAAGCGTTTCGCTGATTCCCCATGTGTTGCAGGATGTTGTTGAAATTAGGCTCTTCAATAACCGGTTGCCCGCCACCGCAACGAGCTTGCTCCTTGAGAAGCAGGCACAGTTCGTCAATGTCGCAATCCTGAAAAGAGCCGTGAGCATCGCGTCAATCGGGTGAGCTGCCACACGATCGTACCTCGAAGTGAGGGTTACTCCGGACCTGCTTCCAAGCTTCGCTGATTGGCACGTTGCGCAAATTGGGATCAGCCTTGCCGAGGGGCTCGACCAAACCCAAGTCAGCGGCATGTGTGCATGGCGACTGATCTTTCGGAGGCTCCGCTGGCGGAACAGCGACAGGGGGCCCAAAAGTCTTGGGTTCGCTGGTAGCCATCATATTGATGATGTCTTGCCTGGTTCTTGGGCATCCGTCACCATGTTCATCGTGCGCTGAATGCCCATCATGAACGAGGGGTAATGACGCAGCAGCCGCATGGTCATCCTTCATTGTCGTATCAATTGGTGCAAGCACTGCTTCCGCAGCAGGGGAGAAGTCGCCTACGATGGGCATGAGATCACCGAAGTCCTCTCCGAAGAGTTCCTCGAGATTGACCAATCCACCCTCGCCTTCTTCATCACCACGTGTGGCGTATGGGCTAATGTCGCCGGCGCCTCCGAAGATACGATCGTAGATTGGGTCACGATATGATGTGTATTGAGGGGCGGTGGCGAGCGTTGTCCATGTGGGAGTGACAGGGAAGGAGCCGAACATGGACAGATTACTGTCCGAAGCAGAGGTTAGGGACGGTTCAGAAGCACCAGCGGTGCTAAACACTGGGTTGTTGTGGGACATATCGATGGGAGGCGATGATTGTGAGAATACGGGCTCCTGACCAGTGGAGGAAGAAGCATCGGGAGAGGAGTCCGTCGATCCGTCCGATGCAGACCGCTTGTTAGACCCAGGCATGCTAAACGTGAACTGTCCTTGTTTCAGCAGTTGATTTTCGGTTTGTAACCTGTTAAGGAGATCCTTCAGGTTCTCATTTTCGTTCGCAGTCTCAGCCTTCTCGGCTTCGAGTACAGCGACCCGGTCCTCAAGCTTCATAACGTGTTAGTCTCTAAGAAGTGCGTAATGAATAATAGCACGTACGTCTCGAACATGCTTCTCCTTTCTCTCTCTGAATGCACGCTGAGCAGCCCTGTTCTGCTCCTTGCGCTTCATCACACGGGTCTCGTCCTTCTGACCGCCAGTAGACTTCCGACGGTTCTTCTTATTCTCGGTACCATCTACATCGTGACGAATGAGTTTCCTCGCTTTCTTCGCTGCCTCTCAAAGGGGCCTCTTACCCATCGAGTCGCGATGTGACTTATGAGCAGGAGCCTCATCATCGAGGTCATCCTCATCGTCAGGGGAGAGCTTCCGCTTGTGGTTCATCTCTTCAGGAGTCCCGGTCTGCGTGCGCTCAAGCTCGCTGTGAGGGGGACTTGGGGAGGAATCCTCCTCGCTAAGGGGCGGTGTGAGGGTGTACGACTGTTGAGTTAGGGAATCTGTGTTGACCTGCTTCTCGAGCATCGCCAAGAAGTCACTATCGTTGAGACCAGCGAAGGAAGCAGGTAGATCCCATGGGTTTGATGCTGTCTGGTTGTTGTGCATGAGAGTGGCAGACATGGTAGGGTTGGTTGCTGCGCAAGGGGAGAGAGACAGGTGGGTGGATGACGAGTCAGATGGTGTGTGTCGGCTTTGTAACACGGTCCTTCTGGGCCTTTCTGGGCGATGCCAGTACTGGCAGGCCGATTAGTTGGCTGAGTACCCTATGAGGTAGGGAGATGCAGAGACAGGGAGACAGAGAGCGATAAAGGGCAGCAGTTGGTCGTCAGCGTTCAGGGAGAGGGCGACAACCTGAGGGAGGGAAAAGTGAGATGGTGGTGAATGGGTGAGGAGCGATATAGATGGTGGGCGGGAGTCAAGGCGAGGAACTAGAGCCGTCTCACGTCAGCGGTCTCATGTGGCGCGGAGGGCAGTGAGCACCGGTATCAGGGGTCCTGACTTCTCTTCTATCAAGGCCCGTTCAAGGTCTCGGGGCCAAATTTCTCCTTCGCATGGGGCAGTTCCTGGGGTCCCCCTGCCCTGTCTTCCCTCACGGCCGGACTCGTGTCCCGGCAATCGCTTTTCAATGATTCTGCGACTTCCTCGGTCATATTTCGACGCCCTCCGCCCTTTGTCGCTCCATGTTCTGTACAGTCTTCTGGCCCTGGAAACGCGGGAAGAGGGCTTCATGGGCTTCAGTGAATACCTCGTCTTTTTTCGTCTGTCCAGCTGTACATGTTTGTGCACTCTTCTTCCGGGATTCTTCCTTTCAAAGCTGTCTTCCAGTAGATATTCCATGGAGGAAGCCTTACATTTAACGCCGATGGAAAGAACAACGGTTCCCTTGTTGCATTTACCCCCCAGACGAAGACACCGGGCATGCTTCCTCCCTGCAGCGCTTTATTGATTCGCGCCAACGTCTAACTGGTGACGGTGTGGCGATGCGAGAGTGTTGAACTTGCGTTTTAATTCAGAACAACATGGGCGCCTTGTGGCACCTGGAAAAAATATCGCGTGTCGAGATTTGGACGGTGAGAAGTTGATTTCCCAGGGGTCGTTGGTCTCGGTACACCCGCGCAGTATTTCTGCTTTTGATAACGTCAATCTAAATGCTCGAAATGCAACAGCAGCTTTCTCCGAAATCTGGCAAGACAGCAAAGCACTCAACGTCTCCAAATTCCAACATCCTCCAATCTGAACCATCTGAGGGATATCCTGATCTTTTGACACCGCTCCAAGATCCGATTGAATCAAATAGGCACAATTGCTTCTCGCCATTGGTATACTTCCTATAGAGTCATGTCTCTTCGCATGGTGTTTCCGATCCGAACCCGACAATGAAAGAATCATCCGAAGTCCCCCTTGTTCGGGAAGGGACGGCGGTTGCACAGATGGTCACGGATGCACGCAGAGGCGCCCTTTTGTCGCCCAGCTTTCTCTAAACCTGACCACCTGCTCGCACACACCGGCGGTGAACGGAGGCTCCATCTCCGATGGATTGATGCTCAATCTGCATTAACTCCTTTGGCGCCCTTAGTATGCGGTGCAGAGCTCGAAATGAACGTTTCGCCCAGAAGAGAAGCGCACGGGATCGGAACATGCCCCGCACAGCCTGGCTCGATGGCGTCTCGATCACTTTTTCCCCACTCTGTCCCATCGTCTCCCACTCAGAGCTGCCAAGCCAATCCTCTTCTCATCCGCCTGTTGAGACACATATATACGGCACCTTGAGGGTGACATTCCCGGTATTTGTCGGTTATTTCCTCAGCGCCTGGAGGGCGTGGCTCTGAGTTCCGGCCTCGTCCCTCAAAGCGATGATGCCCTGACCGCCGTAGTGTCAGCTCGCCGTTGCCAACCTTCTAGATTTGACTGTTGTCAACCCGAACCTAAATGTCGGGACCCACCTTAGGTCCGGTAAGTGGAGTTCATGGAGTTGGAAACATTCTTAAACTTGACTCCTGTGGATTCTTGATGAATAGGGGTCTTCGGCCGCCCTGCATATCGGCACCCTGCGGCCCGAATCCCTTCTCTTGGCCGGTATCTCAATGTCGTGGTGTGATGTCAATGGGTGGAATCGCGTGGGGAAGCTAGTGGATTCCATTTAATCGCCCATGCGACAAAGTGCTTGCCGGTCTTGCGCTCGTCCCCACATGGCTGAGTCTCGGCTGTAGACGGTTGAGGTGATACAATGGCGTCTAAAACTACCAAGAGGCTCTTCCATGTTCTGGGAGAGTACACTCGTATAACTGGTCCGCAAGTTGTTGACTTTTTGATGGCCGAGGTAGGGATTGTAGTCCGAACTAAGTGCTATTCGCGACCGGTAAACAGATTTCTTTGATATCACGTTCGAACAAGCATTCAGTTGCAATCGAACCACCTCGCCTCGGAAGTGTCAATTGAAAGATTTGTATCCGTTTTGCCCATTCATTGGCTGTGCTTTTTAGATTGTGCTCCAGACCAGCGGAATAAATATCAAGGGGTTCGTTGCAAAGGCCGGAAATGAATTGAACTCTAGAAAGAACCACTTACATTTGAATACAGTGTCATCTTTTATGGGTGTTCCGACACTTGCTTCTTGTAGGCAGAATCATTGCATTCGTACATCTCTATTTTTCGGCAGACGTGCGCATGAACCTTTTTCCGGCTGTAAAGCACTGGTCACCCCTATGTAGTCTTGATTTGAAGCATACACTGTCTCCTTCATCTCCTTGTTATCTTCTTTCGGTTAGGTGGCAAACTCGCAACTATTAACGCACGTTCGACAGCTCCAACAGACAACCTGACTATTAAACAACTTTCATGTAACGTATTGTGTGGTACAGCCATAAGGGTGAATTAGAACTGAGGTGTATAGTATCGTATCCGACTCGCAGGTGGAAGCGAGGATGTCAGGCGTTAACGAGCGTTACTGTGCGGATGGTTAGCAACATTTCTGTTCCTTAAGGTGGGATCTTACATAGTATTCAATCTCAAGCTGGGAGAAGGCAATCAGCTCAAATGGGGGTAATGCACAGCAAAGAAATGCGTACAAAAAGGAAAGCGACGCTTCGAGGCCACAGAATGTTCAGACCGGCAGGGTTGTACACATCCCTGTTTAGTTGATCTATCGTTCCTCGTAGCTTGGACATTTCCTGCACAGAAGTCAGCGTTCGTTGGGGAGACGCAGCCGCCCACTTACTCGATCATAATGAGTGGAAAAACATAGCCAAGAAAGGTATAGAGTAAGGATCGCAATAGTGTTATCAAAAAAGCTCCACCACAGGCTGTGAGCTGAAATGAGGCGCTCGTTGATGGTATTAATTGTTTCCTGAAACTGGGTGTGGGTGATACGGCCTTCAAGCTCCAACGGGTATGCAGGGTGAAACCTAGAGTAGCTTCGATGAGAATTCTCAGCAGAAAGCATTGCTCCACGCACTGTATTATCTCTCCTCCTGAATAGTCCCTCTCTACTCGAAGAATTTCTCTCGGGTAGTGTACGCCGATTTTACCGGTGGGAGGTGTGCCATACGCGGAGGTAGAGGATGGTGGACCGATATAGTATGACGACTTGGGTATTCGTGGGGCACTGCGGAACGTATACAACGCCATATCAGCATACAATGTACAAGGTAAGGTAAATGAAAGAAAGAGGGCTTACGTCTCCGCACTCGTGCTTGGTCTGCCTTTTACACCTCTCTCGGCCGCCTCCAACCTACTCCCGTTCCCGTTCCGTTGCTCTCGATCCATGCATACGCTCCCCGTCGTGCCGTGGCGCAGAAGACCCGTGCTGCTTTTCTCGCTAATGACGACGGTAGGCTCCGATATTGATAGATTGTACGGCGCCTTCTCCACGTCCGAGTGACCGTTGCTCGCCGTGTTGTCGTGCGTTGTTGCACGTGTTAGGCTCAGCATAGGGCTCGGGGGGCCGAGGTGCGGAGACGGAGGGTGTGATGACATAGAAACCGGATTTGTAAACGCGCCAGTCGCTCCAAACTGCGGAATTAACGCGTTGCCCAGTGAGAGCTGACAGATAGCGATCGTAAGGAGGGAAGAATCTCGATAGTTTACGATAAAGAGATGAAGTTTGTAGCCACGACAACGCAGGGGACGATGTAATGCGGTAGTGATGGGGGAGACATGCGGCGGTGCTCTCATTTTGCATTAAGGGTTTCTACTCGGGTTTTCTGGACGGAAGACTTGGATCTCATAATAAAAATCTATCTGATGTCTTCCAGATGATCGGTCATACAAAAGTAAATACATCTTCCTGACTCTTGATCATCTTCCGGGCATCTTGGGTTCCCACTATTCGCTCCAACCGCAAAAAATCATACTGGCAAAAGATGGCCTGGACGAATAAATCGCTACCCTCCGTGTCTTCTGCATCTTGGAACGGCATGGCCAACAGCTCGTCATAGTAATTTCCGTGATCTGGTAGTCCATAAAATGTTATGTTCTTGAATCCGCGAATGCGATATCGGCGATAGAAGTGGAAACGCTCTGTCATGATCACGAAGGCTTTATTTCCCGCAAAGAATTGCTGTCTCGCCCGCGCAATCTCCGAGTTGCTAACATCCCTGGAAACAAATCTGTAAGTACTCTGAAAAGAGTTTGTGATAACACTGACTCGGAGAGTGTGGTGTACGAGATTGCTCCTGTATCTTTGAAATGATTTCGCAGCCTGACGTAGTCGAAATACGACGGTACGAAGATCATGGTATTGACACTTCGCACTGCGGATTTGAGCAAAGAGGGCATGACCTGATTTTAAGTTAGGCTATTGATCGCGGCATCAGTGAATGATACTCGCTTGTTTCGTGAAGTATTCAAATCTGGCATCAGCTTCCTGCAGTGGGCTGGAACAGCTAAACTTCATGAAGGTCTGTACTGAAGTTAACGCGGCATAGAGAATGGCAACTGCCCACGCACTTGCTGGATACCCTTCGGTAGCTGTGTTAATAAGCCAGTAAATCGTTGCTCTGTTTTCAGCTTGCCAGCTACGTTCGTCAGAGATTTGTACAGCGCTCTCATTTCGGCCGTCTCATAAGGGGAGAAAAGGAGCGTCTGACGCAGCTTGGCGGCACTGACATGCAGTTAATAACAAGCACAAGACAATGCACTGCCGCTACTCACTGGCCATCCAGATACCAGGGCTTAATGCGAGAAAAGTCAGAATCCCGAGTCTCGTTCGGCAGTTTGTTTATGTGTCCAAGAACAAACTGGGCATGCATTAGCGCAGGTATGGATTAGACGGCATCTCTCATACCTGCAGATGTTCCCAATTCTGCATCGACATCACGTCCAGCTGATCAACGACGAGAATTTCGATGGATGACAAGAAATCAGCACTTTTTGATCTGATAAACAGTCAGGATGACCGTGACATCCAGCAGGCACGATGCTCACTTGTCCTTCTCTATGAGCATCTTCATACTCAAAGGGCTAGCGACAATCATGTCCGAGGAATAAAATTCCGTGAACAACTTCATGGTCTTTCTTGTTAATTTTAGTCCCAAGCGGAAATTATCATCGATGTTGCCTTCGAAATTGTCCACATGGTCTCTTGGATAATTCTCTGGATTCTCGGCCAGGCGGTCGGAAACACCCTTTGGCAGTGAATACTCGGCGAGAAAGTGGGAGTGATTCTCTGTCTGACTTGTCGGCGAGTTAGAGATGAGGGTCTCGATCCAGGAAAGCGCAGAGTTTCGGAGCGGAAGGAGGAAAAGCACTTTAGGTCGAGTGAAGCCTTGGTCCTGTACATCCGAGGGAGGGTCGCCACCTGCAGCTTCATCAAAGTGAGCTAATCGGTCGTTGTTCTTTAGCACACGACGCCGTGTCCTAGATCGGGGTTAGCTCGAGGCAACATAACCAGAGGCCATATAACGAACCTCAGAACATGATTCAACGCATGCACTGATATTGCCTCTCGGAACGCCTGCTGCTTCCGGCCATCTCGATCAGACACAAAGACGTCTTCATACGTGCCAGCCAGCTTCGCAAAGTCCGCACATAAGGATCGCATTTCGTCGTTCAGCGTATCAAGTCGAGACTTGAATGAAGCGAGCAGCTTTGCCTCCAACTGGATTTGCGTCAGACTCAGCAGGTTCGAACGGACTCAGCAGAACTGACCTTTGCGGACAGTTGTACCTCAGAAGCATTGTCCAGAAGCAATAATTCTTGGAAAGCCCCAAGTGAGCCTATCTTTCGCTGTCGAGTGGTCCACTTTCCCTCGTCCAAAGCATTTAAAGCACTAGGAGACAAAGAAGATTGTTTTGCACCGAAGTGATCGTTAAAAGGATCCTTGACATCGGCAACCTCAAGATCGTCTTCGAGAGCTTCATCAATGTCCGCATCAGGCTTCGAATCAATCTGCCCATCTATCGCCCGGGCCACGAAGGTTGAACTAACGACTGTTGTGCTGAATACCGCCTTGGGTTTGCCCCCTAATGTGATCCTCTTCCCCGGAGGTTTGATATCGTCATTTGGACGCCGCTTCTTATCCCTCCTCGTCGCCGAGACATTAAGGAGCGTTAAGAGTTTCGTTGAGACAGAGTTGAAGTTATCGTCGTCCATTCAATCTGACCAGCTTATTTCGACCACCCTTGTGGAGTTGAGGCGAAGTGAAGCACCGAAAAATTTGGGCCCGTAACGCGTCCCTATGAAATAAATCAGGCGCGGCGTCGATGAAGACGGGGGGGGGGACGCGTGAGGGTGGTGAGCGCCGTCTAAATAACGGCACACGTTTGATATTCTGCTCACCATTCAGATCTTTCTAATCAATACGGCAGAGTAATTGCTCCTTACTCTCATATCCACTTTCTCTTCATACTTTTCCAAAACTAAACGCTATGTCGAAACTCGCACCGGCCATTGAGCTGACCTCGCCTCGTTTCTTTGACCTCGACGATGATGACGTACTTGTCGACGAGGAGGCAAGGATCGACATCAGTCTTCCAAAGCCCCGACACATTAAAGACTCCGTTCATGACTATAGTAATGGGTAGCTCGCTACGATGTGGAGGTCACTTACCATTCCTTTATTAGTTACGATCGCCGATCCGATGGTGCAAGCTTTCATCGACAGTCCGCAGATTCAGCGACTTCGGTATATCAAGCAGCTCGGTACTGCGTACTTTGTTTGGCCAGGAGCCTCACACAATCGGTTTGAGCATAGTCTGGGTGCGTAGGCAATATATCTTCCGCATATATGCGTCCTCATCGTTGTCGCAGGTGTTTGTCACTTGGCCGGACTCCTCGTGGAGCGTCTTCGGACAGAGCAGCCATATTTGGGGATTGACGACCGTGACGTGAGGTGTGTGCAATTAGCTGGTCTATGTCATGATCTCGGTGTGCCGTCTGAGGGTTGTCTTCGTGAAGCATTCTGACACAACAATATCAGGTCATGGTCCATTCAGCCATGTATGGGATGGACTGTTCATGCCAGAAGCGACGTAAGCATCCGCACTTGCATGTGTTGTGAGACTGTACTCATGTCGGCTCAGTGGAGAACCATGGGCGCATGAAGCTGGTTCAGAGATGATGCTTGATTACCTCGTCGAGGACAACCAAATCGATGTACCTGAAAAAGACGTCACCTTTGTTAAGGCATTGATTGCTGGAGATTCTGAACGATGGTACGTGGATGCCCACACCGTAATCCATTATTCTAATATACAGTAATAAGCCCATATGAAAAGAAGTTCCTGTTTCAGGTTGTGGCGAACAAGTTAAATGGCATTGATGTGGATAAGTCAGGCGTGTTTTTTCTGGTAGAGATCTCGTTCTCACAGGTTCCCAGATTCGACTATATGCAGCGAGATTCTCATTGCTTGGGTATATCGTGTCCCGTTGATGTACATCGGTACGCCATATATCTCGAGCACAAGCGGATGGTCGCTCAATCGCACAACAGTATCATAGGCAGCTCTCGAGTGATCGCCAACACCATATGCTACAGCAATAAAGTGGGCCCGGTTTTCGTGACTTCAATGTGCCTTTGACAATTGTGCAGGATGCATATAATATTTATGAGTTATTTTACTCCCGGTATTCTCTTCATAAGCGCATTTATAATCATAAAGCAGGTGTGTATTATCTATTTTCCTCTCAAACTTCTGTTATTGATAGTATCTAGCTGTGGCTATCGAGCATATGATCGTTGATGCTCTGGTAAAAGCAGACCCCGTTCTCAAGCTGGTCGAACAAACGCGGGATCCCAGACGGTACCTGTATTTGACGGATTCTGTCGTCCAGGAGGTGGAAAAGTCTATCGATCCCGTAAGACCCATATCATCGTGTTAATCCGAACATTATCTGACCCATTTGCAGGCCTTGGAGGAGTCCAGAGAAATCATCCGACGACTTCGCGTCCGCGATCTGTACAAGATTGTGGATTATGTTATCCTGCCCAGCAATTGGCACGATATCTGGAAGAGAACGGGGCGTTTGACACCAGAGAGCATTGTGCGTCAAGCGAGAGAGGAGCAGCTGGACGAGGAGGAGCGTTTGCAACCGCAGGATCTCATCATCACCTGGTCTGTGCTTCACTTCGGCTCAAAGGAACAAGACCCGATCCGCTCGGTTCGGTTTTATTCATGGCAGAGCCCGCACAGTAGGTATACTCCTCTGTGGGTGGGACATCCTGCTGACATGTTGCGCAGAGGCGTACAGAGCAAGGAAGGACTGGATCTCACAGGTCACGGCTGATCAGTGGCAGGAGGTACTCGTCCGCTGTATCGTCAGGGATCCCAGGCACGTTGGTCCCGGTCTCATAGTATGTCTCTCAGCTGACAGGATGATATAGTAAATTTGGTCTTGCTCAAAGCGCCTTTCGAGCCGCCGTGAAGCGTATGCCGGTCGCCCCGACCGCCTCATCTTCTCAGGCACCTTCGCCTATGCTCTTAGCATCCTCTGGGGCAGCTGTCCCTGGTCTGGGTATCTCTGCAATTCTCCCTCCGCCCGCTTTTCCTGGTACACCCGGGCCCCCAACCCGAGAGCAGACACCTAACCCGTTTACAACTGTTCACTCCAAGTTCGCGATACAGTCGCCCATGGAGTCGCCCATACGGCGGAGGAAGAGAGACGACATGAACGGTGACCCCTCAGCCTCGCTCCAATCAACTCCGTTGAAGAAGGCCAGGGTCAACGGTTTTCATGGAGCTTAACGCAGACCCATAGCCGACAAAACTGATCATGCTTAAGCAGACCTCGTATATCTAAATTGTAGCATACTCAGCAGACCTCGTACCACACCTGCAAAGATCCTGCCCAGATAGGCAATGATTTGCACGTAATATCATGGTCCGTGTACATCCTTTCCGAACAACTAGCGAGTTGTTTGAGTGGATATTTCCACTCGTTCGAGTCCCTTACACTATTTCATCTTCGTGCCGTAATGTCATTCCACTTTGACAGCTCGCGCTCCAACGAACTTCGCCCTTGGCTTCTTCAAGAAGTGCCAAAGCAGTCAGTTCTCCGTGTAGCCGTCAAGAGATAGACTTCTGACTTCCGTAGTTCCGATGCCAATTCCGCGGCGATAGCTGACTACACGCTGCTGCAGTTGCGGCAGGTCGGACCAGTGGAGGAGGCCAACATCGTACCACCACGAGGGACGCAGAAGCCGGAAGGTAAGCACGCTGCGCCGACATCAGTTGGTACCGAGTGGAACGCTGCAGGCAGATACCGGGGGGACTGTATATACCCCGGACTTGGCAGAGTTACGGGCAAGGCTTGTCGAGGCACTGGACCACTTCACGAGAGACGGTGAGCAATGACATGGATTGGTAACTAGGCGTAAAGCTGATCAAACGAACAGATATCGGGGCGTTCGTCGACGACCTGCTAGCTCACTTGCAAGCACAAGCCTACCTCGTGTCTCCCTCAGCACCTAACCAGTCCGAACTGCCAGCAGCGAGCTCCGCATCAGGAACGACCATGTCGAGCCCCATGGCAACCCCGCAGTCCCGCTCGAAAGAAAGCTTCCCGGCGCTGCCCTATCCATATCGATTCCTCTTTGTTGGGCTCGAGCCGGCATCCCTCTTCCTCCCGTTCTTCTTAGCGCTGCTCTATCCCTCATGGTTCCAACACCAGCTCATTCCGAGTAGTGAACCTGCGGCCCCGCTCGGGCCTCGGGAGGTGATGGCAATTTGGCAGTTGGGCAATTGTACGTACATTACACCCCTGGGTAATGGTAATGAAGATGCTGACGGATATAATGATCGCGATTAGGCTATGGCTTACTGGGGCTGATTAGTTCCTTTGTATTCCGAGCAATAAGGGATACGCTGAAAGACAATCCCTGGGCACAAGAGCGGATCATCGCAGCTAGCTTGACAGCCCTTGCCATTGCAGATGTACGTTTACCCCTGTCTCCTCATGCCGAAATGATCCGGTCCTAACTAATTCTTGACGGCAGATCACTCAGTGAGACTATCTCCCTTATCTCCGTAGCCGGACGGTCGGAACATTGACACCGAACTTTGCTTAGCATTTTACTTACCCTGCTTGCCCTGCCACCGAAACTGCGGTTCAATATCGTAGAATGGAACGCGATGACCTGGGGGAATATCCCTACCGTTGTGGTTCTGTTTGTTGGGCGGTGCGTATCGCCGTTCCCACCGAGCGGGGACAATGTTGGCTGATATTTATGGCCTTTGCTTGACCAGGATGGCTTGGTTTGCTGGCGTCGGGCGGACATCATTCCTGAAACAGAAGGTCCCATAATCGCATAATCACGTATTACGATACATTATCAGAGCCATGCATTATCAATCCACCTAACAACGGCTGGGAAGGGACAGAAGCCTAACAGAAGCCGCGGCCTTCGTGTGATTGCGCCTATGATCGTCACAGGATCTTTCATGCCGTTGTGATGCAACTGCCACTCGGTGATGAAAATGCGGAAACCGGGTTTGGAAACGATGATTGCTCGAAACGGACGACCGCGGACTGATGCTTGTGTGGACGTGCTCGGCTACAATACTTGCATGCGCACGGATAACAGATGTGAATCGCTCATCCCGTATGGCAGTTCCTAACAGTACAAGCGGCCATCCGCTCCACCGGGCAAGTCAAAATGCGCTCCTCGGCCGGATTCGACCATTCATCCCTGCTGGCCGAGGGGAAGTGATTGCGCGATATACCGTCCGCTCGTACCGTATACGTACGTAAGGTAATCCTATTCCCCGGGAGTGGATCCCTCGTCTGCCAGGCTGCTGAAAAAGGTCCACGGCAACCTCCCGTCGCACAGCGAGATACCATGCGGCTCGCTTCTCTTCCCGAAGTTAAGGCATAAATCTTGCTCGTGATCGCACACGAGTTCCATCAAATTCATCGGCCGGAAAGGGGTGACACGGACAAGCGTCCTTCGGGGACCATGTGTTGGGAAACCACGACCCCTGGCGAGGACAGACGGGAGAAGAATGTGGACTGATCTGCTCGCTACCTACAACAGATCGTCAATACCGGGGCGAAAAAGAAGAGAACAGGACTTCCCCTCTCCCTCCGGACAAGTCGTTTCCAGAACCCTTGTGCACGGGCGGGCGCGAGTCACCCCTGACCAGGATCGGCATGCCGCCCGATGAAGAAGCGTGCAGAAGAGGAGCGCATGCCAGGGCCGACTAGAGTGTGGAAGCGAGCGTGATTCCTCTCTTGGGATCGTGTGATGCCTCTGCGCTGGGTGGCACACGATGGCAGGGGTTGTTCATATCTCTACGAAGCGCGAACCGAAGGTCCGAAGTGGGAAGATACGAGATGGAGGGAAGGACGCCAGCGCACGTTCTGGTCGGCTTGAGGGAAACGTTGATATGGAAAGAATACCCTCGCGGCCCCGGGAACCCTGGGCGTTGAGAGAAAAAGGAGCACAACCGCGTTTATTCCTGATAAAGGAAGTTGAAGAAGACAGGCAACCAGCGGGGTATCGGTTCACCCATTGCGGTTGCGGGCTCGCGGAGCGGAAAGGAATGCTTCTAGGAAAGACCGCGGCGCCGGTACGGTGTGTTGAAGAATACCAAAGAATAGGATATTGTTGCGTGCCGATTGGTGGGCGAGGGGGTGCAAGTCCTCCGAGACAATGGGTTCAAGAGCACAGAAGACCAGCGCAGCACGGTGAGGTGACAGCTCTTCTCTGCTCAGACAGAGCCAGTTACCTACGTAATCGCCGCGCCATCACCACACCTTCCAGGGCAAAAGCCGACAATGAACACCACACCCATACTGACGACAGCATATGATGCGGCCTGATGACATCAAGATCCCTCCCAGACTAAACCCGGGCATCACAAAGGTCGACTCTAAAACGTCAATCTTATCCCGCGGCAGAAGCGAGCCGCGTGATTTGCCCGTCGGCGGCCGGCGTTCCTGACAAACACCTTGATTTGTGTCTGTGTATTCCATCTTGCCATCTGGCGACGATGGACAATTCCACTATATCCGCTGGACAACAATCGTCACCACAATCGCGACAGCAACAACAAGCCCGACCCCCGCCCTGTGCACACCAGTGGCAAGCACGTGATACTCCTACCACAACAGACCACGCAAGCGATGACGACATGGTCATTTCCCGTGTGGCCAATTTTCATGCGCTGCGGCTGTGCGAGGCTCCGGCACGGTGGATCCCGGAAGCTCCACCAGATTGCTGGAAGTGCTGCTGATCAGCACGCTATGGGTGATCGAGAGGTCATCCCTTTTCAATGGATGGATGCGGGCGCGTGATCTTCCGGTAGGGCATCTGAACCACCACACCGGAACGAGCCAAATCGGGCACAGGGCAACCAACCTCCCCTAAAGCTGGCTAGATCCTGGTAAGCAACCCACCGCACCAGATCGGCAGCATCGCGCCCTGTCCCAAGGCGGAAAAACAGATGCCGGAACTAGGATTGGGCGGTGACCGGGATCCGGGGGAAGGGGAATTGCAGCCTATCGGGGATGAGGTGCTGTGCAACGGCCGAACGGCTGAGGACGGCATGTGGGTGTCTCTCCCAGATCGGGGAAAACTTGCAGGTTCTATCATCGGGTGTGACTTGAGACCCGTCGAGCTTCTGCCAGTTACATCATCCTCTTTCAGGCGCGGCACTGAGCTGTATCATGTTGTGTCAGGGCGGCGGGGAATGAATGAACCCAAAAAAGAATCAATTTGGCGCTCCTGCTGCGTGGGTGTGTCGGTTTCAGATGCCTGTGCGAGACATGTTTTGCCGAAACACGGCTGAGGGTGGGAAACGAGGGACCGCTGGGGGGGAACCAGGATTTCAATTTAGACTTGGCGGATCAACGTGATCTTTTGACGTTTGATTTGGTTTCGGGGCGGCGGTCCATGTTGTTGTTGGGTTTGGGGAAATTATATGTATTGAGTAAGATCCGGACCCTGGTTGATGGCGCATGTGTGAGAAGTTCGGGAGTGTGAGAGCCGAGCGGAGACCGGAGGCAGCTGGGTGTCAAGCGCGTGCAACCCCTGGTCTGCCGGCGGTAACTCACCGAGGGGGATTGAAGCTTCAACATGGGACAACGAGCTTGGACAGCGCGGTGCGGGAATGAATAGGAACTAGGAATAGGGTAAGCCAGGGGCCCGGGGTCAGGGCGCATGAGGAGGGGATGCGGGCCGCTCGGGCTTAGTTTTTGGTTGTAATCGGGATCAGGCGCTGATGGATGATCCTGGGGGAGTGCGTGGCTGTGCAATGACGTGATTCGCCTGGGGGGAGTTGTTGATGGACTGCGGGTGGGCGATGTGAGAAAGGAAGAAGGGAAGAAGGAGGAAGAGACGCTATTTCCGCGCTCCGTGTCTCTCCGCTGCTGATTTGAGGAGGGGAAGAAAGGAGAGCCGGGAAGACGGGAGACGGGCGTGTGACAACACGTGGTATCTTCTAGGTGGAGGGCAGTGCGGGCGTGCGCCTGATGGGCCCTTCGCTGGCGGGATCTGAGGGATCTGACACTTGTCGGAGGGGTGTGGGTTGTGCGATTGGGTGGGAAAGGGGTACACAGCCACTATGAAGGCTGGGCCTTTGATGTGTGTTTGTGCCGTTTGCCCCGCTTCTGGGATTGCCCCACTGACGAATGGCGGTGACGACTCTGCGAATTCTGACCCTTTCAGACAGCCGGAACGGGCTCAGCCGAAAAAGAAGGCACAACCTCTCCCCCCTCTTGCATCCATCACTTCGCCCGATCCCACCGAATCCCGTTATTCACACACCACGCTCTTCCTTCCCTTCCCTTCTTCCCCTTCCCTTGATCGTCCACCACATCCCATCACACCGTTCCATTATTTAACTCCCTCACAGCCCGCCCCCGCACGCCTCCCCCTTTTCCCCCTCTTCTTCCTCCCTGGCCCCCCCTCGCCTCACCTCACCATCTCATCCTTCCCTCCCTCCCTTCATATACCTCCACCCTCTCCCCTTTAACGACTTGTACGTATACAATTCATTTTATTTTATTATCCATATCTCATTTCTCACAGCTATAATGTCCGTTCAGCATCGTGGTCCTCCCCCTATCGACCGTCCGCTCGCAATGGATCGTGATCCCAGGGAGATGCGCGATCCCCGCGATCGCGATCGCGACCGAGAACGCGAGCATGTCCAAGCCCCACCCCACCACCATCATCATCACCATACACACCATCATGCTCCGACTCACGCAATCCCTACCCCGACAGCGATGCATGCTGCTGCCGCGGCGGTGGTGAATGGTCCTCCACCACCGCAGCATATGGTTGGTCCACCCTCTGCGGGCCCTGATCCTCGTGCGAGAGACTATCCTCTTCCCCCGCCACCGGGAGTCCTCATGGATAATCCTGGTGGACACCATCATTCCCTCCCCCCTCCGCAACACCTGCACCATGTGTTGCCCCCGCACGTACATGTTCATCCTGGCCCACCGCCGCAGGGGCCTGCCATGGCGTACGGTCCCCCACCGCCAGGGTTCGCACAGCACCAACATCATACTATGGCGCCTATCTCCGGGCTGGCGGACCACACGGATCTCGAGGCTCTCCTACGCTCGGGAAGGCAGGATGAATGGAATGCGCCCAGGGCAATAAGACGACCCAGCGAAATTCCAGTTATCAGGGAACTGGACAAGGCAGATCATGACACATGGTGTCAGATCGGTACGCTGTGCTTCTGTGTCATCGGGATGCCGTCTGATCGGCTGTGCAGGCGCAATGGCAGAACAACTGAGCGATCTGGATCGCGCGATGGAATGTTATCAGAAAGCGTTGAGGTACGATCCCGAGAGCAAGCGCGCGTTCTCCCAGCTCGGAGCTATCGCTCGTGCGAAAGAGGACTTCCCAATGGTGCGTGACGTGTTTCCAACTTGTGTTTCTACTTTCCATCCGGACCGCGTGCCTGGTCTATCCCCTGTTTTATTGTTTTGTTATTGTTTCTTTCATCTTCGGCACCACCGGCGGGGCGAGAGAAGCAAGCTGCGACTAGCAAGAAGAAGCACGGTTGCTATGGGTGCGTAAGCACTCAGGGGGGATGTATTGTGTGATGATGTCTTTGCGGTGCGTACCCTTTCGTTTCCTCCACCATCAACGTGGGGGGATAAACGCATGTGGCTGATTTTTGACACATTAGGGTTGGCGTGTAGCGTGTGCTACGTAACACACTCCAAAGGATGGGCGACTTGGTTTTCCGATTCAGAAAAAGGAACCGCCGGCATTTAATCGGGCGACAACACGGCCCACCAGCAAAGCGCGTGTCATCCCCCATCTGGTCAACAGCCCATCAAAGGGAAACACGCCCGATCGGGCCGCCCCTCTCGATACCCCTGAATTCCACGCATTGTTTTTTTTGCCGCCGCCTTTCTTCCTTTAGCTTCCTTTAGCCTCTCTTCCCACGCGGGCACACTTTTGAGCGGGTCTTATCGGCTATCCTCCCCATGTGGCGATGCCAGACTCTGATTTCATCCCCGATCCGCACTTTGTTTACTTCCGCTTTTCAATCACTGGACAACCCCCATTCGCTGATTCCAGCACATTACGGAATCTGCTTCCATCACCTTCTTCAACAAGCGTTCTTGCCTATTCACTTTTCAACCTTGGATGATTCTCGAGTTTCTCTTTCTGTCCCTATTCATTGTCCCCTTGTGGGGCCCTCACTTCTCACCGAGCCAGCTGACCATCTGACCCTCAGGCTGTGGACTACCTCAGTCGCGTTCTCTCCCTCGATCAACAGAATGGCGAGCTGTGGAGCGCACTCGGCCATTGTTATCTTATGCTCGATGTGCTTCCCAAAGCCTATTCCTCTTACCAGCAAGCCCTGTACTGCCTTGCAAGTCCAACAAATGTCAAGCTCTGGTACGGCATCGGCATACTCTACGACCGCTATGGCTCGCTCGAGCATGCAGAAGAAGCATTCACCTCCGTCCTTAGGATGGAAGAAGGTAAACCGTCGTCATTTAACGTGAGTCTCGGTCTCACCCGGCCACGGGTAGATCAAAAAGAGCTAAGCTTTGGCAAGACGAACGAGGTCTACTTCCGTCTGGGAGTCATCTACAAGCAACAGCATAAGCATGACCAGAGCTTGGAGGTGAGCAATTTACCTGTCCTGTGTTGGGGGTACAGCTGATGGTGCGAAGTGTTTCCAACGGATTGCGGAAGATCCGCCCCAACCATTGAGGCCCTCAGACATCCTTTTCCAGATTGGACACGTCTATGAGCAGAAGGGCGATGTATGCGTCTCTTTTTCGCAGTGTTTAATACCAGACTAACGCGATCTACGACAGTACGATCGCGCTCGATCGGCATATGAACGCGTCCTTCTCGACGTGCCGAATCATGCAAAAGTCTTGCAGGAACTGGGCTGGTTGTTCTTCCAGTCCCATACATCGTTCCACAGTATCGACAACGCTATCGAATGTCTTACGCGGAGTCTCGGTGCTGGGAGCTTGAACGGTTTGTCTTACCGTTTCGAAAAGTTGGGCTTGCGTTGATGGGTTTTCTTGTAGATGAGAGCGACGCTCAGAGTTGGTATCTGCTTGGACGAGCATATATGGCTGCGGAGAAGTATAACAAGGCATACGAGGCGTATCAGCAAGCTGTGTACCGGGATGGCCGGAATCCGACATTCTGGTGCTCTATCGGGGTGCTGTATTACCAGATCCAGCAGTTCCGAGACGCGCTCGACGCATACTCCCGCGCGATCCGTATAAACCCCTACATCTCCGAAGTCTGGTTTGATCTTGGTTGCCTGTACGAGTCGTGCAACAACCAGATCTCGGACGCGATCGACGCGTACAAGCGCGCACTCGAGCTGGACACCGAAAACCAAGGGATTAAGGACCGACTCAGGCTCTTGGAAGATCACAAGTCGAGTGGCGGTCCTCCTCCCCCGCCTCCTCCTGTCCAAGATGTGCATCCAACAGCTTACGCCAGTATGCAGGGACAGCTTGGCCCACCGAATTCTCTCGGCCTTCCGCTGAGCCTTGGTGTCCCGTCACCCCGGTATCCGGTACACGGGGGTACCGCTCTCCCGCCTATCATGTCCGGGCCGGGAATGGCCCCACCTGGGCACCGAATTAACTCCCCCTCCTATGGTCAGGTTGAGATGTATCGTCAGCCCCACATGGCGAACGCCGAGAACTCAAGAACTGGAATGGCCCTCGCACCGATGGATATTGACCGTGCTGGTCCTCCTCCCGCGCACGCCTCTGCGCTCCCCAGCATGCCCCTCGAGCCGCCTTATGGTCGCCCACCCCAGTCTGCGGGGGAGATGCACCCTCTCCAGCAGGCGCAGATGCAGCATCCGGCTCCTCAGCCTTCCCGTGGACCGTACGAACAGCAGCCACAGCAGAGGATGGAACAACATCGGCCTCCTCCGCGTGTGAGCCCGCCTGTACGCACGCACTCGGCGGCACACCACCAGCATTCGGGCAGCTACTCGTCCCACCATGCTCTGCTCAACCCATCCACTCCCCCGGCTCACCCTCAGCAGTCGCCACAATACCCACCGCCGCAGGGGTATCGTCCTCCCCCGTCGGAGCGGGACCATCCGCCTGCGTGGGATCAACGTGGACCTCCTTCCGCTAGACCAGGGTACGATATCCCTCGCCCGGTGTACGACACTCCCGCCCCGCCGGGGATGCGTGACCGCGAAAGGGAACGCGAACGTGAGGGCAGGGAGAGTGAGCTCAGCACCCCTTACAGAGGGTATGACTCTCGCCGTCCGCCGTCGCCTAGAGATATGAGGCGGCCTGAGGTAAGGCCGCCTGTCGTCCAACAGCAGCAGCAGCAGCAAGCGCAACAACAGCCAGAGCCTGGTTGGCAGTCAGGTCCTCCCATGCCCCAGCAGCCTGTCCTCCCTCCTATGCCGACCCCTACCGCTCAGACGAAGAGGTACGATCCGCTCCACGACAGTGCGGAAGATGCGCGCAGACGGGAAGCTGAGAGACGTGAGGCACCCCCTCCGGATCGGATGGACGTAGACCGTATGCCCCCGCCTCGTGTTGTCGTCAAGCAGGAGCCTCGGACCGTGTTAAGCGTCACGGCTGAGACAGACTCTCGCATGGACACTGCTAGCCCGCCCCTGAAGGAGGACAAGAAACGCAAATCGCGTGGGGTGAAGGACAACGAGTCTGATACTGGGAGTCAGAAGAGACCGCGTCGCTCAAACCCTCGCAGCAAGAAGGAAGAGAATGGCTCGTCTCCCGCGCCGTCGAGGATGCGTAGCAGGCAGAAGGATTCTCCTGGGTCGAACCCAAGCTCGAACTCGAATGGCCGTAGGGCCTCGCGCGCTTCTGCCACACCGTCGTCCACAGCACCCCCTCCCGCACCGGTTTTAAGTAGGGTCGTAAATGAAGACTATGACGAAGGAGTCGCCGAGACCCTCATGAATCTTTCGAAGCCACGCCACGACCCCATCATCAGTCCCACACGCTCTGAACACGGGGTACCAGTAATGAACCACACACCAGTCGGACCCCCTCTTCCCCCTGCCCCATTGCCACTTCCTGTGCATGCTCCTGCTCCCGTTCTCGCTGGTCCCCTGCCGCCCATGATCTCCCCTCCTCACAGGCCAGTCAAGAACTCGCCCACCGCATCTATTCACGGACCTGAACGTCCCCCACCCGTGTCGAGTCCGGCCTATTCTCTTCCTGAGCGCAACTCGAAACAGTTCGGACCGTCACCTCCCCCTCCCCATCGGATGTCCATTTCATCCATGCCCTCCTCGAAGCCGCAGTCACCTCTGGGGACACGTACGACCCCCTCCAGCGTACAGTCGCCTCCAGGCGCCGCTGTTCCCCCGCCTGTCTTTCATGGGCCACCTCGACCACCCGAGATGGTCGGGGCCGAGTTGACCAGGTCAATTCCCCCATCTACTTCTCCTGTTGCAGTGGTCAGCCCAACTACTTCCAGGACTGAAACGCCGAACGGTCCATCTAACCCTCGCAAGCGCCCGACGCCGCCGAGTCCCATCCCGGACTTCGGGATGAAACGTCAGAGGTTGGATGTTCCTTCCCCACCTCGGGCAGCCGAGCCTGCACCTACGCCCACTCCAGTGGCACTCGCAGCAATCGCGCCTCCTTCCCCTCCTCGTTCTCCTCCTCCTATTGCTACCCTCCAAGACGTTTCTTCTCCTGAATCGACTCGCAGCCGCAGCCCAGGCGACCCATCTGATCAACTGATGGACTCGCGCAACTCTCCCGCCGTTCCTCCCGTCAGCCCACCTACCGATGTCGCAAAGGCGGCGGCCGCTCCCGCTATGGAACGTGTCGTGCTCAAGGCTGTCGACGTTACGGGACCCACCAAGGCTGCTACAAGCGACCCGCCCGAAGAAGACAGCCCTATGGACATGGGTGAATAGACCTCGAACACCAGAAAAACCTGGTCATGAGAAGAAAATTCTTAATCAGCAGCATCCCGGTTATGAGTACTCCACGCCCATTTTCTTGCTCTTCCATCATTCAACGATGTTGACGATACAGCTCAAACAAATCAAATTTCCTTCATTGTGCTAGTGTGTTGTCGTGTATTCTTCTGCTTTCCATGCTGGCTCATGCTAGAAATCCATCCCCGTGTGTCCATAGGTGTTTGTGGTAGGTTCACATGAAATACGAGTCGCTCAGTAAAAATATGCATTTCACCAAACATTACAACATCATCGTCTGAGAAAGAAGGGAAAATATCAACTCTATACATGTCACGAACTGCATGCAGCATTATAATTCCTGCTCAACAACCCTGTTTGCCTCGGCGCGTTCCCTTATACCCTCTTCTAACCCGTTTCTTCCCCGATAGCTCGAACTCCTCGCCATGTCTTCTCTAGGGCTCCTGCCGCCTCTTCCACCCAACACTGTCCTGATGCTGCTCGGCCTCTCGTCGTCCGAGTCATCCGCGTCATCTGCGTCGTCGCCAGGGCGTACAGAATAGGGCAATGGGATTTCCTTCGTCACACGGTATCGATCCGCATTACCGATATGCTCGTTCTCCACCCGGTAGAAATTCCATTGGAACCGTCGAAGCGCTTCAAGGCACGCAAATAACCAAGCTCGCACAGTGAGCGAAAGTCCTCCGGTGGGGATGTAGAACACCCAATCCAGACGAAGGATGATATTGCTGACCTGTGGACCTTGAGCATGCATCCCAGCTTGGAGACAATGTCGTACTTACGATCGCAAAGTAGTATAGTGGGACAGCCTCTTTGCCGTAAATCAGATCGTCCCGCAGGAATGGCCACGGCGCCTTAGGTCTCATAAAGGACCAGTCCATCAACAGGTCCCATGCACATGTGTAAATCGATCCGAGCGTAGCGAAGAGAACGTAGACGACGAAGGAAGTATCACGTCCAGATCCTTGAAGGGAAGTCAGGTATGGGGTAGAGGGGCGAAGAACGAACTGACCCAGATGGCGCCAGTGATAATAAACAATGTACACTACAATCATCGAGAGGTACTTTCCAGCCTGGAAAAACATCATTATTAACGAGTGCAATGCAGCACTAAGAGCAAGATCCTCACGTTGACCAAATGAATCTTGAGTCCCGAATCCGCCCAACGCCTCACACACTGCGAGAACCGCAATCCATATGGCAGCGCGCTCAGGAACGCAGCAATCCAAGTGTTAGCCGTCCCGCAGAGCGCGCTTACGCTGTTCCAATTATTGTTATACGCGCAGCCGAAGACGTAAAGGTTGCCGAGTGTGTAAGCGAGCGTGCAGAGTTGGTCCCCGAGCCAGAAATCTGCGAACTCGACACGCGTTGTGCCCGAGACCAGGAGTCGGGCGATCATGTATAGGAACCAGTAGCGAGAACGACGTCGCCAGATTGGGAGGGGGTTGATAAGGACCAGGATGGAGAGGACGACCCATGCCAGTGGCCAAGTATGGGGGTCGACACGGGGGTTGTCGACCAGGTAGAAGGAGAAGAAGCAGCAGTATGAGAGGGTCATGAATAGGAATGCAGGGAGCTCGAAGAACTCCCGGTAATCTAGCACTGATCGGACGTCCAGGTCGAAGATGAACACCCAGTTGATTCGGGCCCGGGTCCAGGCGCACATGTTTAGCCCTATGAGGAAGGTGAATATGGGGAGGATGAAGAGAACACCGTAGATGTTGAGCAGGGAAGCCCATTCGGGGACGGCGTTCCGCACGTAGGGATCGAATGCTGTATCTCGTCAATAAGCGCTTCAACGCTTGTGGTAATGACTCACATCTTACGATTCCCAGAACGATAGCAGGGATGGCCAAGCCAACATATACGCCTGCCCGGAACGTGCTGAAATGGTGTGTCTTGGGTATCACCTCCTGTCTGAGTCTGTCTCTCGCCCGCTTCCTATCACCCTTGGCAAACCTATCCGCATAGACAATCTCCATCTGTACGCGAAGGGTGTGCAGAGGCTCGGCGCGACAGAGAGGGAGGGGGTCCACGCGCTCGGACATGTAGAGTTCTTGAGCGAAGAGGATTCCTGTTGTCTTCTCGAACTTCTTGAGAGCTTTGCGAAATCCGGTGAGGTTGAGGATCTGATATGTGCTCAGCACCAATGTCATGTAAGATGAGATGAGTCCACACACCCGGTAATTCTCCAAAAGCTCCAACCCCCTATAATACTCTTGCAATGCAATCTTGATTTTCTTCTTCGCCGGCAAGTATCCATGCGGGTCCAACTCCTCCCCTTCCCTCTCCTCACGCGTGTCCACATCGACCGACAGCTGATCCCCATCCGGGTGGAAGAACCTGCGTATGCCGAGATGCGGGAGGTTGGAGGGCGGGGACAGGACGTGTCGCGAAAGTGTTGTGGTGAGGATGTTGGGCCAGCGGTCGGTTGTTCTCGGGTAAGCGGTCTATCCACCCCAGATGAACGCAGCGAAATGTAAGCGCCTCGTTCGTCTGAAGTAGCGGAAACGCACGTAATACGCCTCTCTGTGCTCTTTCAGCTCGTCCACCTGGTTAAGCAACACCGCAGCCTTATCCCGCGCCTCTTTCGCCCTAGCTTCATAGAAAGACTCGACCTTATCGAGCTCCGCATCGAGTTTGGTAAAGAAGCTACGCTCGGAAGGGGTGAGTTGGGTGAGAAGGTCCGACAGGGTACGCGGTTGGAGCGGGATTTTTCCTGCATTGTGTGGGTTATGTTATGGGGGAGGGGAATGGATTATTGCAGGGTGGACGGACCGTTTTTGCCTGCTTTGCCCTTCCTAATGCTACTCCCTCCTGAAGGGCGAAAGATACTCCTTCCAGACTTGTTCGACTAGCCCACCCGGCATAACGCGTCATTATTGAATACTGGAAAATTTGCAAACGGGAAGTTCTTACAGGTAGCAGCCCACCTCCAATTAGAGGCCCATTCCTCTCTGATCCTGTTCTTGTTCCAAGTCCTGCTCTAGGTGTCCCGGGTAGGGTCCCAACCGTAACCCCCTTCCCTCTCGCTCGCTCCGTTCCCTTGTCCTTGTCCCTATCCGTACTCTCATCCGTCGTATCCCCCTCCCACACCTCTCCCACGCCAATCCTAAACCTACCCACCTCCCCCCCACTTTCCTCGTTCTCGTTCCACAGACAATGCGATGTCCCTTTCCGAGCTCCGACCTTGTCAACCGACAGGCCTGGCCAGTGGTCTCTGGGATGAGCACCACCAAACTCGCCTATGTCGCGCAGAGTCCCTTCTGTGCCTGAGCTTGCATGCCTGGGTCCAGGGATCGAGGAGGGGGAGGCACTCTCCGAGGGCAGAGCCTTGTTTGCCAGGACAGGGGAACCCCGGCTGGCGGTCGAAGCGGGGGACATGCCTGATTCCGGAGCAGAGAGACCTCCAGGCGTCTCCAACCCCGCATAGCGGCCCGGAATCCTCCTAACCGCACTGGGTTCAGCCCCGTTCGCAGCTCCAGAACCGGAGGGCGCAGGGGGGGACTCTTGTTGTTCTGCTATACGCTTGATGAGTTTCTTGAGCCCGCGGTAGTCGATGTACGCTTTGCGCCATTCTGGGATCTGGGAGATGTGAGTGGGATAGAGTGGAAGGAAGAAGGACGCACGAGGGAGTCCCGCAGGTATCTGTTAGAAGTGCTTTGGTCAGTTATGTTATTCCATGTACGTGTGGATTGAGTGCTGACCTCCCAAACTTCATCTCTCATCTACTTTTTATGCCAATCTGTAATTCCTGTAATCCACCGAGTTACAAAGTGTATAAAAATACAACAACGGAAAGGAATATTGGAAATGAGATGAAGCAGTTAAATGTGCCAAGAACGGGCGCTTATTTGGGCCCTCTTTGCACGCCTCTCCCGATCAGCGCCCTGATTGGCTAGATTTGGAATTTTCAGGTCGCGTGCCCTGAATATGACGACATGTCCCTGTTGGCACGTGCGCCGCATCTCGCGTTTTAGCAGTCTTCTTTCCTTTGTTGTGCTCCTCCAACTCCGTACTAGTGAGGCTGGGCTTTTCCGACACCATTGATCCCAATCACTGTCTATTTCGACCGCATTCTCAAAGAGAACGGATGGGGAAAGACCCAGAACAGGTGTCATTCTTGCTCTGTTTTGACTTTGCTCTCGACTTGTACGCTAACTGCTTGCAACGACCCAGAATCAATCCCTCATTCGAGGTCCTCGAGCGAGCGGCGCTCACTCCTCCTCTCATCCTTCCTCCCACCCTTAGGCATCATCTTATTATTGAAAGACCGCAACGGAGAGCGAACCTCCAGCTCCTCGTCCCGTTTCTTCCCCTCTCCCGGGGGGGAACGACTGTCGAGCTCGAAGTCTTCGTCCAAAGACCTCTGCTTCACTTTCTGTCCAGATCCGTGCTGTTGGCCGCCCTTGTCACCCTTGCTAGAGGACTTATCTCCTTTCTTCCCCTCCCCAGACGGGGGAGAACGAGTCTCCAGCTCCAACTCGGACAGGTCCCGACGAGAAGGGTGTTTCTTCAGTGGAAGGCCTTTAGCTGCTCTCCGCTCCTCCCGCTGCTCTTCCCGGACGTGGTTGACATTTTTATGCTTGGGAGAGGGGATTGGGCTCGCTGCGATGCTGGCTGCGAGGGCTGCGAGAACGATGATGGGGGCGAAATGCATGATGGCTGGCTTTGGTTAAGGCGGAAATTAAACGTAGTTGTGGGTATGAATGTGTGTACGCGTTGTGTAATCCTGACCAGCAGGTGAGAGTTGTACGAAGCAGAGAGGATGAGGACAAGTGGAAGTGGGTGACCAGCACCGAAGTTGAGCAATTGTTGGGTAAAGAACAACGACGGTATGTTCTACTCTTTATATACCCAAGGAGAGCTAACATCAACGACTTTTCTCCAGTTCTTCTGGACGTTGAACTCCCATGTTCACCCGGAAGAACCTGGTCAAAGTTTGCCATGAAACGCCCATTTTCGGCACGCAGACTCACACACGATAATCAGCTTCTCACCGACCGAGGGGAAATTGCCATCCCAGACAGTCTCGACGATGTTTTGATATAGACGGTCTGGGGATTGACAGTGCGTGGTCCAAACCTCAATCTGACCTGCGTGCTGCGCAGCCTCACGTGCCGGAACGCGTCCTCGAGTGATGAGCGGTCGGGGTTCCGATGGATGGGGCACCCGACAAGCTGTGCATGTTTCCTATTACATCACACTGCGGTATCAGGATCTTCGAAACTGTTCTCAACCCCGGCTCGGGCAGGAAAGCTGTGGCTTTGAAATTAAATCTCGGTCCGAATGCTGGTTCCCGCTGAGTCCAGCGAGGTAGACTATGACTCAGGTGGGTGTCGAATAAGGCTATCCATATGCCGCAAACAGCACATGCTCATGACCCAAAACTGAGAAGAAGACGTATAGGGAACATCAGGAAAGGAAGCCCTCTAAAGCTGTCATACCGCACTTTCGGTCCGCTATGATACCGAACCTGAAGGGGATTCTGATTATGGCTGAAGCAAACTGAAGACTAACAATTGGCACGTGAGCAAGTGGTTCTCTGCAGTACTGTGTGCAAAAAAGTGAACAACATAGGCGCTGATCGGCAAGGCGTGGTAATTTCATGCCCCCTGCTTACGGTCAACCGCAAAACACCAGGACGCTCTTCACTTCAAACGTGAAAGCTCAATCGCTTGCTCGTTGACCTTCTGTCTATAATCTAAGCTCTTCACGCCTGGTGCGATCGATCAACTACTCATCTTCGAGCCTGGGTCAACTGGAAACATTAGTTTGACGTCCTTTTTTCACGACGTAATTGCACGCGCGAGGACCCAAGATAGTGTATCATTCTTGCTCTCTACTGATACTTTACTTTACATTTGTACACAGATACACTAGCGATTCCAATTCAACAAGCTTTACTCCTTAGTCGAGCTCTTCAAGGGAGCGAGGGCCGAAGCGGTGGGCCTCCTTGCGCTCACCAGCACGCTCACCCGCGAGGAACATCTTCCTCTCTTCGTGCCTCAGGAAAGACCCACCCTGAGGGGAGCGGACGGCGAGCTCAGAAGAGTCGTCCTCCACCGACCGCGCACCAAATCGGCGAGCCTCCCTGCGCTCACCGGCACGTTCGCCGGCGCGGAACATCTTGCGCTCCTCCTGCCTCAGGAAAGACCCACGCTGTGGGGAACGGGTGTCGAGCTCGGCATCGTCGTTGACTGAGCGAACACCGAGACGGCGTCCCTCCTTGCGCTCGCCAGCACGCTCGCCGGCAAGGAACATCTTGCGCTCCTCGTGCCTGATGAAGGAGTTGCGCTGGGGAGACCGGGTGGCTAGTTCAGAGTCGTCATCGATCGAGCGAATTCCCATCCGACGGGCCTCCCTCCGCTCGCCCATGCGTTCGCCCTTGCGGAACTCAGCCCGCTCAATGCGGCGGAGTTGACCCGCACCAATCTGGGGTTCCGGGGTGGGAAGAGCAGCGATACCGGCTGTGAGGGTGGCAAGAACGACGACGGGAGTGATCTGCATGATGATGGTGTTTGGTTGGAGTGGATGTTAGAACGGTGGAGGCAAGTGTAGTGGTAAAGAAAGTCGTGTAAAGTCGTAAGATCCTGACCGGCAGGCGTGAGAGGCAGAGAAGTGGAGGAGTGTAAGTGTAAGTAGGTGACCAGCACCGAACTGAAGTGACTGTTGGGTGAGGACTAGAAAGCGTATATTCTGCTCCTTATATGCAATCCCGGAGAGCCGGCATCGAAACCAACTCTGTCAAGTCACAGGCTCATGACATCCTCTGCCGAAGCCACCATCACAACACTAGTAAGCTAGAATGGAACGTTGCCTTTGTCATCGCTGTTGAACGGCAACAGGGACGTTGACCAGAGTTTGCCATGAAACAACTTCAGTCTTGGCATGTAAACTATGCATAGATTTGACTCTCTCTGTGAGAGACCGGCCAGAACCATCATAGACCAGATTAGAGACGTTTCAGCATAGACATATTGAGTTAAGCCAGTGCATCAGCGCTCAACCCCTATTGTGACTAACTGGGCGCAAGACGCAGCCTCTCGTACAAAAGCGATGCTCGGCCGGCGGCACCATTGTTCCGGTGGGCCAACATCCACACGACATGCTATGCCTCCTCTCATTTGTGCATCGCAATTCCCTCTGTCGCCGTGTTCAAGCAG